ATGTGTGCTTTTGAATAAGGATATTGCTTCTCTTTCTCTAGGGGGTTATACTTTTCACTAGAGGAAGCCAAAAGCGCAATATCAAATTGCTAGAGCGTATTCCGTAGAGGGCACCCTTTTGGACCAATATCCAAATCATGAAGCCTGATACTTTGGTCCTCTTGAGGTCCAGCGGCCTTTCCAAGCCCTGCCTACTGCATCAAGACGGCCGGGTTGCATAATGAGGCCCTAACACGTGATATAGTATTTGTGGGGTATCTGACTCAGCTAGTTTGCCACTAGCGCCATGGCCGGTCTAGCTCCGTCCCGTGACGTGCGACTTTTGAGCCGAGGATAACAGGCGGTCGGCGGCTTCGTTGCTGGAGCTCGCATTTCCAAAGGCCGTCCTCAACTACTGTTGACATCTGCCCAAACTCCAGCATACGAAATTTCTCGTGAGATTCCAATCCTTACAGCCGTCAAGAAAATATACCTAAGCACGATGTCGGACGATGGAACACCCTCTCCGGCGCAATCCCAATTGCTCTCCACATCGGCACCATCCCAGTCGCGATCTTTCAACAAACAGCTCCAGCAAACCTACAAGCAAGCTTCGCAGCTTTTCCTTACCCGTAGATTGCAAGAATCGCTGTCCGTAATCGAGCCATTGGTGACTCCTTCCCCCTCAAACGAGTCACACCAGCAGCAGACAAATGGCAACGGGGTCGCTGTTGCACCAGTTGCTTCGGCGTCAAGCAACTTGAAAATCAAAGTGTGGAACCTCTACATCACCCTTCTAAGTTCCATTGTGAATTTGGGCCCTGAAGAAGGAAAGAGACAAATTGGCCAGAAGGAATGGAAAACATTGGCTTCCAAAGTTCGCGATGGCGAGATCTGGGATACAGTTGTTCAGGTTGGGTATAATGGCAGAGAAGGCTCTGTGGATGCAGATGTTGTCTATAACTTGTGCGTATCGAGTATAGCCCTTTCAAGCTTTATTGAAGGTGTTTTTGATGTATTAACCGGACAAACCCCTTAGAGCCACCCTCTTACTCACCCATTCTCCGACCCAAACTCTCAATCAAGTGCGTCTCGAAAACTACTTAGCTTCATACGGTGTTCCGGACTTGGATATTGCGGCTCATATTCAGAATCACTCCCCCACGAGACGGAAGCAAAGAATAGCATCCTCCAGGGGTGCAGATACTCCAAAGGACTTGACGATCCGCGTAAGATTACTAGAGTTATTCACTCTTCATGTTCTTCCCCGGAACGGTGAATGGGAATATGCCAGAGAATTCATAAATCTAAGTGAAGTTCTCGATGATGAGAGAAAAGAGACATTTCTCCAAACGCTAGATGGCTTACAAGAAGCCAAGGAACGTGATGCAGAGCGGGCTGCAGAGCTCCAAAAGGAAAAGGAAGAAGAATTGGAGCGGTTACGCAAGCAGCAAGAAGAAGAGGAGGAAGCAAGAAAGATATTGGAAGAGCAGCAACAGCGAGCAGCTGAAGCCGCCGCCGCTGCAAAGTCTGCCCCTGAGAGCTCAACAAACGGCCATAGGAGAGTAAGCAGCGAAGTCGATTACGGCATCGAGCGGTCCAATCCAAATGGCAGTCTTAAAACTACCCGCGGCACGAAATCATCCATCAAATCATCTTCGCGCTCGCCGGAGCCGTCGAAACAAGTCAAGAAATCCAACAAGCCGAAACCGGGTGCCCTAAGACAAGTCCGGCACTTGGGCAATTTACTCATTGCATTCGTAAAGCGTATGGCCAAATCAATGTCATCTAGCCCGATGTTCTTTCTTCGAGCGATTCTGCTAATTATGGGGGTGATAATGGCTTTGGGGCGCCCTGATATACGTGAACGGATCCGCCGCCTGACTGGCGTGGGGTGGCAGAAAGTTCGGGGGACTGTAGGCATGGGCGTTAAGGTTAGTTATATATAAAGGATGGGTCGTGATTCTGCGTATGAACTTGTTTGGTTTATCTTACAATCAATATCTATCTCCGAGTTGTATATTATGTATGTAGATAGGGCTTCACTTCCTGTGTTGAGGCGCTTGCTGGCAAGTACCTGGTAATGTCAAAACTAGAGATTGAGTCATATTATCTTATAGACTCGGGTTTGGGTAGTCTATGGTCCCTAAAGACTTAGCCATATGCCTGAAAGTCTCTACTGAGGGAGTGAGCCGTATATACGTGCGCCGGGCTGAATGTCGATGGGACCGTTCATAGTACCTAAAGATGGTGGGCATTCTCGCGATTATGTAAAAGTAAGACTGGATGAGGTCTCCGAGGCCTGCGAAGAATAACTATCGCCTCTAAAGTACGGAGGATTTTTCAGATGAGCTTGGACGTTGGCTTCCAGGAGGCCTTGTAAAACCCTCATAAGTCTAATATCCAAAGTACTCCATTCTTATGCCGAAATGCAAGATTTTTGACACAGGGTTCAAAGTAAACCCATGGACAGAGGGGCTTTTACAGGGCTAGAGAGCTCCAGTGAACAGCATTGAAACCCTAAAACCGCCCATTATTCAGTTGTAGGTTGCTGAAGGGGCGGCGCGTCTTCGCGACTTTCATTATCACCGGTTAACCCTTTAAGTCGGCAAAGGATTCGTCACAACATAACCACAGTCAAGTTCGACATTCCTGCTCGAAGCTTCCTCCTTTTTACGCAGTTTTCTCAGCCATGCTCGAAATAAATGAACCATAAAGTGGGCAGAAAATATTTGCTCTGTCGTATATAAAATTACTGGGACGGACATCCTCGCGTTCAGAGAGACGTCATTCGATTTGTACATCGCGTAGAGCATGGGGATACCAAGGCCAGTTGTCTTCGCTGGGCCGCAGAAACAAACCGCGATAGTTTCGACGGGAGGTAGCCGACGGAATATACGACTGATAAAACGGTTTGACATCAAGAAAGTTGGAGGCCGACAGAGAAAATAACATATCGCAGTCAGAAATAAGTATAGACCGATGTTAAAGAACACAACCAATATAATGGTTTCTTTGGTCATTGACTCGAGCGCTTGTGTTGCGAAGCAGGTAGAGAAACCCGTCCTTGAAGCCTTGATGTTAGGGAGAGATTCCACGTAGACAATCGTGTAACTCACCATGTCAGAAGAATCAAGCAGCACCCAGAGATTTTGGAAAAGTGAAACGTCTCTACTACATGCTTCGCTTGTTGGGGCCATGTCCAGCGAATCACCTGCCCCAGGACCAAGGGAATCAACACGCTTAGACCCAATGACTGGAAAACTTGACGATACAGCGAGTCGAGGTCTGAATCAGCATGCCTCCAGAGATCAAAGCTGGGCGATTTAGGGAGCAAAGTCACGGTCCAACCAGGTGTGACAAATGGTCCCAGCATGTTTGCCACTAAGACTTCCATCAGTGCCACGGCATCGTCACCTCCAGCCTCCCTCGTCATCGCCACGTTAGAGGAAATAGTGGTTGGTAAGCAAGCCACGAGAATATATCCAGCCAAAACTGCCTCATCGATTCGACGGCCGTGGTCACTTGTGTAGATTAGTTGAACAAATGCAACCATGATGGCCGGAACAACTAAAAAGGATATTCCCTGGACGAGGATGTGCACTCGGTAGTTGAGCAGTTGTAAGATAAGCTTTTCTTTCGCAATGCTCAAGCCGCTAATCAAGAAGATTATCGCAACGGCACCGTATAAAATGGAGTATTCCGCATGTATAATTCCTCCATGTTTAGCAACGTTTGGGAAAAAGTAGGCCAGCAGGCAAGAAATTCCAATACCTATCAGGAGATATTGTCGAAGGATGAAAGCGCCTATGACACTCGAGGGCGGTGCCTGCTTCTCCGAATTGGCTTGATAATTGGTAGCCTGACTTTCCATATTAAATGCTATAGTCTCTAACAGCTCTTGTTGGAAGCTGAGCTCCTATATTTCATCAAACTCAAAAAATTCGCTAGGAATCCGTTTATCATTTAACCAATTCCAGAAGGCATAAAGGAAGGATATTTTCTGCTCCAGCTCGACTCGAGGAATAGAAAGCACCGTTCTCATACAACCAACATTGACATCAATGTCATCATCCGCTGCAGCAAAATAGGATTTTACCGCGACAAGACTGATGAGTTCTGTTGTGCTTTCACAATTTCATACTCCGCACTCCGTGGTCCAGTTGCCGGCCTAGTTCACTGACTAGCGGGTGGGGACACCTCTCAAGACTGGCAGAAGTCCTTGTCGGCCTTGCACGAAGGCTTTCGGAAAGCGGCGACACCGCAATCATCCACGGGGAAACATGCAACAATGGCTTCAACCATCATTTCTCACCTTGAAATGTGAGAAGGCAACGCCAAAATTCAAGTCCTATAGCGCTCATTCGGACCAAGCCCGTTCGGGCCTGGGATGCGGAATCGTGCCGAGACATAGCCATCATTTCTTGAGCACAAGCTCGGTATTCCCAGTCGAATAGCCGAAGCCGAAGCTCTTCGAGTGAAAACTGACACAATGAAAGGAGAAGTCCCACGATAGATGTCCTTTCACGTTCACGCATTGACTTTTGTCAAACGATAGGACGTTGGACGAAATTCCGCAACACCGAATGATCGGATCAGATAAGATAATGGGCCGAACAGGCGGGCGGCTCCGCCGGCGGGCCGGAAATTAGAATATCCGCCAGCTCTTTCGGAATTTAGATTGTCCGACCTCACGAAGCCGGCCCGGCATCCATGCGCATAGTCAGAGCACCAACCTTCCAATCAGAAACTGACCGCTGTTACATTCCTGGGATTGTCATAATTGTGATACTAAGTGCATCTGGTTGCACCGAGTAAGATTCGGAAACCATAGGAAATGAGCCATTCTGTCTGGAATCTCGAGTTCAAAGAGCGATTCTAAGCGGTATGGTTTGTACAGACATGATCCGCGACTCGCAAGACAGTATAGGGAAGATCAAATGCAAGCATATTTTGGTCAAAGCTATTGCGTGTCCGTACTGAGGAGAGACTATATAAAACATCGATGGCTGTTGGCGACCATGTATAAGTTCTCCAGTTTCATAGCATCACCACGGGCCGGCATTGGTTATTCTTATCAAGGGTTGGATGGATGCACTAGGAGCTATTGCAGGTTTTCGTGGAGAAAGGATTGCTTGATCAAAGGAGTATTCTCTATACCTTAGGTGCCGTAAGACAGACATCAAGGGACACTTTGCGCGAAAAACGGCAGCCCTGTCAAGGCACATCGACAACGTAACAGTATTACCTAGTTAGTCTGCCCCTGGAGAAGCTGCAAGGGTGTCTCCAAACAATTTCAAATAACCCAATCCGACTTCGCAAAAATGATGGAAAAGAGCGTGCATTTTCAAAAAAGGGCTTTGCTCCTCGTACTCTGTCCTCTGTACACCGTTGCTGACAGGGGCAAGCAGGGGTATCTGCGGCAGACCGTTTTGAGGCGCGGTTTAAATCGGAGAAACATGCTCCTCAAATAAAAAAGGGACATTGAACTAATCCAAGGATGACAGCTGGATTGCAGAAATCGAGCGTCTCCCCTCGCATTTCTTTTGCAATCCTTTCACACCGTCCGAGGCCGTCGGTGGCTTTCGAGGAATCGCGTCACCCGGCGTTCTAGCAAGATGACGTAAATTTCAGCGGGTAAAATCACCCTCTTGGCGTTTTGCTGACATAATCCACCGGGCCCGCAGGGTTCGGACTTGCGCTCACATCCTCGGCATATCCATAAAGTACCTCTTCATATAAATAAAGGGAGAAAGAACAAGAAGGGTGGAACAAGTAAGCTTAGTTATAGGCCTCTCGGCCCCGAAAACTCCCGGACTTGGCCGGCAACCCCGCAAGCAACATGATTGTCGCCCGCCTTAGCCCGATCCATCTGCCTTGAATATTGGCGGGAGTGGCTTTTTTCAGGCACAGAGGAACTGGTGGGAGGACTGCCAGCATGTGAAAAAAACATGTACGGAGCAACCATGAGTGTATGTATATAAAAATCAAGCTGCGAAAGCTTGATCATATGATTGTATCTCACATGCTCTTGACCCAACTACTGGCTTGGAACCATTGGGAGCACGGGGTCTTTATATACTTTTGGCATCAGGGTTCAACTGGCATGTGGCAGAGTGCTGGCTTTCCGGCCTTGCGAAAACGAACATGAGCCTCGGACTTGTCTCCGTTGTTTTTCAGAACCATGGATGATACGTAAGATTAGTCGATAGCTACCTTCTGCTTGTCCTACCAATAGCCATGAACTGAACCGGTTCCTGCCTCCTAGTAAAATCATCATTGCTCTACTCCGTACCCTTTGAACAAATTACGTGGATTTCCTGCTGCTGTTTCATTTTGACTTTGTGCGCTTTTTCAAACTGCAACATCCCACTTTTCCGCTTTGCCTACCCTAGCCGGAAACGATGTGGGGAAGATTTCTTCCGCTCATCCAGATCTGATAAAAAGCTCTGGCGTCTGCGCCTGGGTCACTGACGAAATCTTTGGAGCTCGCTATTGCTAGATCCCGCCACTGAGAGCCAAGGATTCACATTTTCCCAGCCTTTTCCTAATTCCGCACTCGGGGCGCTTTCCCAAAGTTTCTCTGGTACTTTTTTTTTTGAACTGGAGCCGGCGCGTTTCGGGTAGCCGTTGCAGTAATTTATTCAAAAAGATCGCTTTCCCACCACCCTCGGCACAGACGCACTCCTTGTCTTGACTCATTTTGCGAGTCATATTGACCGATCGGTGCTGTATTGGTTTTTGCTTAAGCTGTCTTTCTTTTTATTCCTCTCCACTCATAAAAGGTCATCGGCGGCGCTTGGGCTTGCTCTTTTAATTCGACTTTAAAGACGTTGAAAGATAGATACCAAGGAAAATGGCTTCAAAAGATAGGAACGCGAAACCTGCCTCCGCTGCAGTGAACTTGGTTGGTAAGGAGAAATGTGTTGTCTGGAAACGTTTGCAGTAAATATTAACGTCCCGGTAGCTGGTGGTGGAGCGGGAATGATGGAGGCCTTAGTGTGTCATCCTTTAGGTATGCGCCCTTCTGTTTTGGCTTGCAATTCTACCGGTGAATCGACTGACATTCCTTAGATACCGTGAAAGTTCGAATGCAGCTTTCGAAAAAATCCCGCGCACCGGGAGTGAGTATTCGCGGCGTGAAATCCGTTCTCGACGATCTGGAAACTAACGTGGTATCTGCAGGTTAAACCCCGTGGGTTCATCGCAACCGGGCAAGAAATTGTGCGAAGGGAAACCGTTCTCGGTTTGTACAAGGGCCTCGGCGCTGTGTTGAGTGGAATTATCCCCAAGATGGCTATCCGATTCACTTCCTATGGGTGGTACAAGCAAATGCTTGCAGATAAGGAGACAGGAAAATTGAGCAGCTCTCGCAACATGCTTGGTATGTTGGATCACCTAGAGAATTCTTTTTTGGTGGCCGACCAGATTCTTACCTTGACTTTTGAATCTATCTAGCCGGTCTTGCTGCGGGTGTCACTGAAGCCGTAGCTGTCGTCACGCCTATGGAAGTCATCAAGATTCGTCTCCAAGCCCAAAGCCACAGTTTGGCTGATCCCTTGGATACTCCCAAGTATCGCAGTGCTCCGCATGCTCTGTTGGTGGTTTTGAGGGAAGAAGGTTTCGGCGCGCTCTATCGTGGTGTGTCACTCACTGCTCTCCGACAGGGTACCAACCAGGCGGCCAATTTCACCGCGTACACGGAGATGAAGAAGCTGTTGCAAGAATGGCAACCCCAGTATACGGAACTTCCATCTTACCAGACCATGGTTATCGGTCTTATTTCTGGTGCAATGGGTCCGTTCTCCAACGCGCCCATTGACACGATCAAGACCCGGTTGCAGCGCACGCCAAGTCAGCCCGGACAGTCGGCCATGTCACGCATCGTGTCGATCTCCAGTGATATGTTCAAACAAGAAGGTGCTAGAGCCTTTTATAAGGGTATCACACCACGAGTTATGAGAGTTGCACCCGGCCAGGCCGTCACATTCACGGTGTATGAGTTCCTGAGGGAAAAGATGGAAAAATCCACCCTTCCCATTGTCGGTGGAAAATATGAGGAATAAACGAAATCGAACAGAACAATCGCTCTCGTTGAAGATGGCGCGGACTGCGGCATCAGAGGCTCACCTGCAGGTCCAGCGGAGCGCTTTGGGATCCTCCAATCCGGCCGTCTTATCCCACTCTTGACAAAACAAAGATTCGGGAAATAGACATATCCATATCAATTTTTTCCGGTCATGTATATATACCGACTTTTCCCTTTTTTTCTTCTTTTTTTCTAGTGTTTCTTGATTTCCCTTTTACTCTTTCTTTTGGACATTTTCAAGGTGTTCGAGCGGCTTGCATCTCGCATTTCTTGCAAATCTTGGACGACACACTTGTGACATACACCTGATAGACTTGGTTGCTTCTTGGGTACAAAAAGCGTGTGATGTGTATGTATGTACATACATTGACTTAGCGACACGGTAGATGAACCGCTTTCAATGGCCTTTCTTGAAAATTCCGATAGATGAAATCGATGAGTAAATGTAGATGATGTTAGAAGGGCGAACGTAGCACAGCAAATTAGCGTCTGGCGTGACGTTGGGGCGGCTGAAGGGAAGCTGTGGGGTTTGGTGAAACGCGTCACAAGCCGGCCGTTTGACCCCTCGATCTCGACCAGAACTGCTGGTGAAGAGGACAATCCGATCTTCAGCATCAAGTATATCTTGTCAAGATGCAGTCAGGAATAACAGGTAGCCAATCAACCAAAGATACATTTGGTCTCCTGTGCTAACCGGTATCCAGCCTCCGCCGAGCTCCATGATGCCTTCAAGGCCTTTCTCTCCTCCCCGTCCTCCCTCTTCTGCCTTCCCATAACAATCGAGAGCGAACAGCTCGTTCCTCTATCTCCTATCTCCTTCGCATTTAATGCCAACGATGCCCTTGATGATAAGCCATTCTTCGAATCCCTTCCATTCCTCAAAGATACTCTCCAACCTAAAACCCCGATATACCTTCTCCTCCGCCGGTTCCAGCATGAGGATCCCATAGAATCGCAGCTGGTTGCGCTTACTTACATTCCCTCAAATAGCGGGGTCCGTGCCAAAACAATTTTTGCAAGTACCCGTGCTACTGTAGTTCGTGAATTGGGCTCTGAGAAGTTCTTCGACACTGTTTTCGCGGTCGAAGAGGAAGAGATTTTGAGCGAAGCTGCCTGGAAGGAACGGGAGGCAGATAAGAAGGCCTCCAGGGGTGGCAATGGAAATGGGACGGCGGCGGATGAAGATGGTGCGGAAAGCAGGAGGCAGGATGTCATGGGAGAGAAGGAAAGGGCGCTTGATGCCATCAGGCGGGCCGAGAACGAGGCGAGGAGCATGTCAATGAGAAGAGACATCGGAATTGGGGGCACTGTGGGCGCCGGAGGGGCGGCCGATCTCAAGGGTGTCCCCTTTCCGCTTGGGGATGGGGTCAAGGAAGCGCTGCAGAAACTGGAAAATGATGAAGGAGGAGCCGTTTTATTGGTAAGGCTGCTTTTCCGTTCCATTGTGCTAAAACACAATCTAGTGTGCTACGTATATTCGCTAAACCGATTTAAAAGGGTATTGATATTCCTAATGAAACCCTCACGCTTCTCTCCACCGAATCAAACGTTTCTCCCGGATCACTCTCTAGCCTAATACCAGACTCGAAACCCCAGTACACGTTCTACCGGTATCCCACCACATCCGCGCTGGTCTTCGTCTATACTTGTCCTTCGACGTCGGCTATCAAGGAACGTATGCTCTACGCTAGCTGTCGCAGAGGAACGTTGAAGGTGGCTGAGGCACAGGGTCTGACAATCTCGCATAAGGTTGGTAAGCCGTTGAAAATAAAACCCCGCTCACAACGCGTACTGATATAGCCATAATGACAGATTGAGGCATCTTCCCCTGACGAGATCACCCAGACACGATTGGAGGAAGAAATCAGTCCCCGAAAAGAAGATGGGCCTCAGAGAGGCTTTGCAAGACCAAGGAGACCGGGGCGGTGATCATGATAAGGTGATCGAAGAAGCGCAAATTCCACCCGTTTTCGATAGTGCTTTCCCTATAGTGTTTCTATGTCTCACCCATAGATAGCTCTATCCCACCCTTCAGAGTTAGATCTTTCATAATTTCTCTTCATCTCCATTTGAGATCTGGAACAGGAGGCACGGAGCATCTTCGGTGTAAACCAAACTGTTAAGATCTTTCCTCTTTCCCGTTTTCGACGATGCGTGTAGTTCGATTGATAGAAGCCCAGCCGCCACAGGCTTAAATGAGCAAACGGGAGGAGGCGTCAGGTCACATCGCCGTCGATCGATGCTGCTTCCTCTGGAAGAACAAGTCTGTCCTCGAACTTCCCAGGTTTATAATCTTCGGACACCCGTCTCGGTCTTTTTCCAGCCTCGTACACTCAAAGCAGTAGAAGGCATCACTGATTCCCTCGCCTCCGCACACGATGCACTTGTTTTGGTAGTTTCCGAAGGAACATTCGTCACAGACGCGGACGAGAGTCGTGGGCCGGACGTAGGAGTCGCAAACGGGACATTTGCCGTCGCATTTGTCACAGAGGCGGCCGATAGAGATGCCGGTCTGCTTGCGGCACATTACGAGATCGGGATGATGGCGAGACATTGTGATTCAGAGTTGATTTTTCCGTTTCAACTAAGATTGCGCGGCAAGAATAGAGGAGGTGATTGTCAACGCCCTAGCTTTCGCGTTGTTTCTGCGGAGTATTTAACCAAATCCTGGTGGCGGGAATTCTGCACAACCGATGTAATCACGTGACATTCCACTAGGTGTCCCGGAAAATTGGAAGGCCGAATCCCGGGATTTAAGGAATCCATATTGCTGTTAGGTAATCCAACCAGCACCTCGCTCACGTGACCCACATAGATTAGCCGAGATTCCCCTTTAGGTAGCTTAGTGAATGACAAGCATACGAGTCCTCCATCAATTCCAACAGACACGGAACGCAGGATCGAGGAGGTTAGGTACGGACAGCATTGGCTTTGCAACATGGGAGCCGACCTGCGCCTGCAGAAGAAAGGCCGGGTGAGGCATTTAGTGTTCGGATGACCGAAGATCCCATAGCTGCTCAACAGATGAGCAGCAGTGGTCATGATGAGCGGCGTACAAGAAGGCGAGAGTAGAAATATTCAGAAGCATCTTAGGATCTTGTCATGTTAACTAAATAGTTAGAGTATGATGTCTATTTAAGTCTTGCGTTTCTAGAACTTCTGCCATCTCAATAGCTGTGGCCACAAGAACTGCATCTGCCTGCTTTAATTATTAGTAAAGATACCTTGGACCTCTTCAAGGTATTGAGCATATTCATCCAGCTTTGATTTCACGAATAAGGTCATTTCAGGGCGCCAGAACAGGGATATCCCGTCTCGAGCTATCATTTTTAGCACTTTCATCAAATATTGGCTCAAGGTGCTCCCTGAAATGGTTGAATAAACTTTTCGGAGTCTTCAATGCACTCAAATACCAGTAGTGGCCGTCCTTTGAAGCTGTTTTCACGTGTGCAGCCCGAGAGTAGAGTCTTCTTTTGCAATATAGCAGCATGTGTGTATTCTCCTGTTGTTTGAATATTTCAACAAATCAATCATAGCACGCCGCGAACTGTTCATATTCTTCTCGGCCCTCGATTTCATCAACACCTGTCCCTGTCAACCAAAATGGAGGCTGCAGGTTTTCTAATGGCAAAGAACATGCCCATTCAAGATCAATAATATAGTTGATGTTCCAATCTTCATCAACAAGAATGTTGCTTGAATGCATATTCGTTAATTGCATAACAAAAGGTCCCTCACAGACATGTCGATTAGTAAATTGATGAATCAAGGCTTTCATGAGCACTAGATCTTTGGCTTGTGAACATGCATCAATCTCATGAACTGCAGCATTCCCCTGATATAGTAGATGATTATCATGAACAGCGAGCAAATCAAGATAGAAGCTCTCAGCGTTCGTGTAAGTCCTTCCCCGTGAAATATCCGTCGGTATAGACCAATTCTCCAAACTGGTGAAGATGGCACTGCAGAACATCGGACGGTTGGCATTTGGCAAGAGATAAAGCGGCATTGTCTCCGGTGCTGCTCCAGGTAGTGCTAAAGCGGTATCCGGCCCCAAGAAAACTTCCCGGGACAAGGAAAATCTATTCCTCCGCCAAGTACTTGAATAGGCCAAGCACGGCTACCAGCGATTTGGAACGGTGGTCCCAAAGGAGAGGCCGTCGAGAACAATATTAGTTCCTCCTGCTGCACACCGGAGTAGTTAGCTGTTTTTCGCATCGTTGGAACGATAACTATCCATCTAAAGGCGGCCCACTAGCCATGGCTGAAGGGTAAGTGCACGCAATATCCAGGATTCTAGGATTTGGGCTGAAGTCTCCGATATCTAGATCGATCGCGTCAGCTGTCGCATTGCCTGATCCGGAACCATCGAGTCCCGATGCCACTTTGAAACGGCGACAGTTCCCTTCGCAAGAAGATAACAATGCCAAGCGCCGTCGAGTTAGTACGAGTCAAGCACAGTCCACGGCGGACGATACTTCGCAGGTTTCACCCGTCGTACCGAGGACATCTGTCGATGACGGAAAGGAAAAAGGTCGCCAAAAAACTGGACGGGAGGAAGAGCGCAAGCGTGGTCAGAGGTTATTTGGCGCATTGCTCGGGACGCTTTCACAAAGCTCATTGACAGCCACACAGAAGCGGCGCGCCGACATTGAGCGAAAGCAGCAGGCCAAGCTGAAACAGCAGGATGAAGAGTATGATGAACAATATAGGAAACGGCGCGAGGAGCTAATGGCTCGGAGAAGAAGGGATCAAGTGGTATATGAGAGAGAGTCGGTAAGTGGGTTTGTTCTTCTTTCGCTGCTTTCATGGCATGTGCTAAGAATAATGCGCAGTTGCGAGTTCGCCATTCAAATCTGCGGGCGATGGCCCGCTCTCTGAAGACTAAGTCGACACCAACCCTGGTTTGTTCCCTTGCCCTTGTATCGAAAGCCAATACAGTATGAATTTTGCTAACACCATGCTTAGTACTACAAACCTTGGCAGCTTCGGCCAGAAGAAAAGGACATCATCGACTCGCAGGTAGAAGATGCAGAAGCTACGATCGCAAAGGAAGTGGAAGACTTCGAACGCCGGAATCGCAGAGAAACCGAAGGATCGCAACCGGAAAAAGAAGCGGCAGAGTTACCTCCCGCAGTTGAGTCAAGAAGCACCGCGGATCCGACGGAGTCAATTGCTAACAATGGCCCAAAGCCGGACACGGTGGGTTCCGATACTAATGATCATCAAGAAGCTTCAGAGGCCCAAAAGCAAACCACTACTAATGACATTCCTGTTCCTCCGGACCGGAATGAGGAAACAGCTCATGCGAGACCCAATGAAGATGACTCGGGGGAGGTTGTCTTGGAAGACAAAGAAGATACTGTGATATACTAGGTTGGCCCTGATTTTACCCTCTCCTGATTCTCACATTCCTGAAGGCCTTTCCCAACAAGTCGCCCTGCTATCCATCTAACATGCACCCGGACTCCTCTCTTGCCATTCCCCACATCGCCAGCATTCCCGCTTGAGCTGTTGTCGGCCAAACTTTGCTTCCAATGAACTTTTGACGGCGTTCGTTTGCACCACTTGGGTGCATGCTGATTCCGTTCCCGCTAATCACGCATCTAAGCAATGTGGAAACAATTTGTATGTTCCGAGCGTATTAATGTTGATAATGCAAATTTTAGCAGTTAACATCGAGATTGTACTTTATTCTGGATGGACAAATGATGGATTCCAAGGAAGCGGGCAAGTCTGCGCTTCAAGCCACGTGAGCTGAACCTCGGTTTGACTAAGCTTTGAGTCGGGTACTCGTCAAAACACGTTCGCCAGTGCAGCAACCCCGGGATCCTAGCAACAGACCCGCTATACATAAGGTCGCCTTGCTCGCGGTTCTGCCACAATGTAGTTTTCTCCATCCGAAGCTGAACACTGTTGTATACACACAAGTTGACGTCCCCTTTAACTTGGACAACGGCTTCGCCCCCGCCCCAAAACATACAACCTCCATCATGACAGCAGACAAGATAGACGTCTGGAACGACCCGCGGATCCAAAAATGTTCCACTTTTGTCAACGGCACTAGATACGGTAGGTAGCAACCCTCTGTATACGAGAGGTATCTTCTTTATATGTGATTATATGATGCTTTCACCCCTCTCTCGCCAACGTATCATCAAGCTACATTTCATTCATTAGTTGTTCATGACTTTTATTCTAACGAATTGTTTACTATACAGGCTATCTTCTCGGGGTCCCTCCAAACGGAGACTACCGAGCAACTGTTTTTCTGGTCCGTTCGCCTTAGAGAAACCCTAGTCACTGCTGCTCATAGCTTTATTTCAATCCATCGACCACTCTAGAAGTCAAGAAAGCTTCTAGCAGAGTATTGCTTTCTTTGCTGCCCATTTGATCTCAAAACCTGACCGTTCCGGGATCTAGATCCATGGCTTTCCTGATCTTTCAATGGGATGGAGATACCAGATCCCAGCTCTGTTAAATATGGGCCTTCGCGTTGTTGCCCCTGATTGTCTTGGGTATGGGAGAACAGTAAGTGTCTTACTCTTTATGTCGTTATTACTCAAACTCGAATGATATCAGGACTAACACCGCATTCCAGGAAGCTCCTGATTTCACATCGGAATCCGCCCCTCGGTACGCATTCAAGCAATGTGCAGCTGATATGAAAGAGCTCGCACGGCAGCTGGGCACTTCCAAGATCATCCTTGGTGGCCATGATTGGTTCGTTCATCCGGAAGCATCTCCAGCGCCCATGTTCTGGGAAATTTGGGGTTCAACCTAACTAGCGATTCATCGCCTCTAATACGGCTCTACTTCAGGGGTGGGTTTGTCGTTTATCGTATTGCGCTCCATTGCCCGGGTTTCGTCACACACATCTTTTCCGTATGTACCCCGTACGGCCCTCCTCACCGGGAGTTTGTTCCCCTGGACAAGCTAGTAGCAACTCGCATTCCGTTTTTCGGTTATCAACTCCAGTTTGTGAGTGGAGAACTCGAGAAAGTTATCAAAGACAAGAGGGACATCCGTCAATTCCTGATCGCATTATTCGGAGGGAGGACTCCAAAGGGAGAATTCGGGTTTGACGTCACAAAAGGGGCACTGTTGGACAAGTTGCATGAGCTACAACCCTCGCGAGTTATGAGCGAAGAGGTATACCAATATCCCTTTGACAGCCATTTCATCAACATTATATTAACCGTTTTAACAGGAGCTAAATTACTACGTCGATGAATACTCTCGGAGTGGAATGCACGGCCCACGTGAGTTTAAATTGCTTCCAATGCTTATGCCGAAGACAGGAACAGGTATCCTAACACTGGTACTTAGTGAACTGGTATCGCACCCGCGAACAGAATTATAAAGAGGACCTTGAGCTCATCGGGCGCAAACTCGACATTCCGGTCCTTTTCATCAGAGCCACAAACGACGCGGCCCTCCGCCCGGAACTATCACAGAATATGTCAAAGTATATCCGGGATCTAACACAGGCCGAGGTTGACGGTACGCATTGGGTTCTGTGGCAAAAGCCTGAGGAGTGCAATGCCATTATCGCAAAGTGGATGGAGGGTGTTGTCTTTGGGGCACAGAGTAAGATATAATCCAGAAGAGGACACAATACTGGTTTGATATTTAAGTTTTGTTTCATTATTTATGATGACGACACAATTATGACGCGCTTGGGTTGAACATACACGTATCCTATCCATCCAAAGTTGGCAGCAAAGGGTGTGGGAGTGGCTATCTTTCGTCCATTTTTCTCTGCTTAGACCAATATATTCATGATTGATCAAAGGCTCAATTCAATCTTCCAAGACTTTCGTTTCAATGCTGACTCCACATTTCTCCAACCTAGCGACATATTCGTCGCCTAGGATGGCCGGTGTTAAGTAGCCTCCCTTCAGGTCCTTCCCAACTCTTTCACTAGTTATCAAAACCATAGCAGCCTCCGCTATGAGCATTCCAGTCATGGGGTAAGCAGGACCCTGGTATGCAAGTCTGCCCAAAACCCGGATAGGTTTCTTTCCGGGTTCGGCATGCTCAGCCGTCGCCACACCGCGATATTCCACATAATCCCCGACAGTATCCTCCTTTGCGGGACCCTGGCCCGGGTCTGGAAGAAATCTCTTCACCAGCAACCGAATAGGCGGAATCATCAGACATATCGCAGCTAATATGATGCAGAAATGGACTACTAGGCCCATGAAGACATTACGGGCCTTGCCAAATTCCTGGAAATGAAAGTTTTGGTCGTATAAATCTGGCATGAGGGAGCTACTCCGGTGTACAATGGCACTGTCACACGAAGCTGGTAAAGTAGTTGTTACTGTTCCAATGTCCCTCACATAATGGACACCGAAAAGTCTTCGAAGGAGCGGTGTTGATGGAACAGTGGACGGCCTAGAAACTGACAAACGGTACGGATCGTTCATAGCGCGGAACTCTTTGAATGTCAGGTTTTCAAATGCGGCGAGAATAGACGCTGCGGTTCCACCGCTAATACCTGCACCTCTAAAGAGGACAAACGGAGGTTAGATATTGTCCTTTCCGATCCAGAAAGGTCAACTTGCTTACTTTAGCTCATAGAGAGACAGAATTACTTCCTTCACCTTAACACCAAATTGGGCATTTATCGATTTCGCCATTGACCAGGTTACCAGGTCAGACGGTGCGCTCTCAAAACCATCTGTGGGTATCATCTAACATGATAAAGTCAATAGAGGCCCCTAATATCATATAAAAGATCGAGGCGTTACTGACAATCGCACCGGTCCGTTTGGCAGTTTCATCGTATTTGTCAATCATCTCCTGGACCCATGGGATCTCTCCAGTCCTGATTGATGGGCGAAATAGTTAGACATAACGAAGGCATGGGAGAGATGAAGGGGGGGTTCCCTTACACATCAAGATAATGTGTACCATTATTTGCGCAGGCCTTGACTACCGGAGTTGAGTATTTATGATACGGCCCTACACAATTGATCAAGACTTTTGTCTTCCGTACAAGGGACCCCAGCTCATCGTCGTTGAGTTGGACCGGAAGTATTTCTAAATTCGGGAAAGAGGTCAGTGCCACAAGCATTGGGTATCAGAAACCGTTGGACTTCGTATGTCAGGCCGAGAACATCAGATAGAAATCTCTTATACTTGCCTGGGTCCTTGCGATCAGGCCCATCTCTTTTAAGCTCCGATGCCAGTGCCTCGAGCTTCTGGGCTGATCTTCCTGCGATCCCCCATTTTAAGGTTGTTGGAAGATTTTGAGCGATGTACTCCGCACAGCACTTCCCAGTGTATCCAGTAGCTCCTAGGACGATAATATCAAGGCTCCTGGATGATGCCATCGTGCTCAATTAGTTATTATCAGAGAGATGTATGTAAATCGAAGAGGCAATTCGGACTTGTGGGAAAATGAAACCTCAAAAGGAATGCAATTCGGGACCGTATATCACGTAAACCAGGAAAGTCAAATGTTTACGAGGTCCTAAAGGAGCTTCATTGCTGCTTCACGGTCGTCCTACTCAAGACACCGGCAGTATCACCATCAATGATATCAGGATGGCGCAGGGATATGAATCACGTGAGGATCCATGTTGATCGTAGCTCGGAAGAATAAATCACCGATGGCGCCAAGACTCACATCAACCCACTAAGCGAGGCCGCACCACGTCTGGAAATTTGTCGAACTGCACCTCCCTCACACCTCGACCGCAAGATAATCATCGAAAGCGCGACAAAATGACGAAGCGCACAAAGAGTATGTTCACGCCCTTACATCTCCGGGAAGCGCATGGTGGCTAATTCGATGATTTACAGAGGTCGGCGTTACCGGTAAATATGGTACCAGGTATGATTCGATTTGCACACCTCCAAACCCGCGAAGACTCCTCCGACGCTTGTGCAGTGAATGATAAAATGAGGGAAAATTTGGAATTGAATTGGGATCACTGACCTGGTTGATTTTTGCTCCATAGATATGGTGCCTCCCTGCGTAAGCAGGTGAAGAAGATGGAAATCTCGCAACACGCCAGATACATCTGCACATTCTGCGGCAAGAACACCGTTAAGAGAAAGGCCGTTGGAATCTGGGAGTGCCGTTCCTGCAAGAAGACTATCGCGGGAGGTGCCTGGACTGTCGCGTAAGTTATATCCCATCAGATGATTGAACTTCAACCTTAGAACATTTTGGAAAATTTGGCGCTTTACACAAAAACCGTCGGAGTGAATCGAGGAGCCGTGCTGATACTCCTTCCTTTTACCGCAGAACCCCTGCTGCCGTTGCCACACGATCAACCATCCGTCGTCTTCGTGAAATTGCGGAAGTCTAAATGGGGATATGGCGTTACTGTCTTCTTATGTCTTGTTTGAATTGTCGCATTGAATAATGAATGATGGGGCATTGTCGATAGCTCGAGCAAACCTCTTGCGGCTGAGGCTCGCCGATTAGACAACAGAAATACCATTACCTTATGAGCACCCCATCCCCGTTCCGCGATTGCACTTGCAGCCTTCAGTATTTCGTACACATTTTCTCCGTTTATTGGACCGGACATCAAGCAGCCGGTAGGTAGGACAGAAACCGCGTTCGCACCGAAATTTCTTGATGGTCGAAGAGTTTCCTGCAACGTCTGGTTGAGTCATCCGTCAAGCAAACCCAGGCCCGGATTTCCGACGACCTGCAGACGAGAAATAGCCACCCAACAGCCCCCTTTTTGTGGATTCCGGGCTGGTATTTCTGCGAGGCCGGGCGCTGCTGTTTTCTCCCCACCGTCTCCCCCTCCCCTCCCCAGTATGCGCAGCCATGCAACATGTTTCAACGGGGCCAGAAGCCTATTTGTAGAGCGCCAATCACACTGGCGAATCGGCGTTATCCTCTCCAACCTGAAATCGGCTTTGCAGGCCTGTTCTCGTGGTTTGATAGGCTGATCCCAGCTGAGCTAATGCTGTCACCATTTGCTGTCACGTTATCCGTGTCTATTCCGTTTCGCGCCTAGCGTCGCGGATTAGCTCAGGTTCAAAAGGCGATCCACGTCCCCCACAACTCCAAGGTTATTTCTCTACTTCACTCTACATCCGTCCTCATTTTCTTAATTAGATCTTCATGCCGCCAAAGAATCTTCTATCGTGTAATCTTGACACTCATCGCATCAACAATGTCCGATACCTGCATTGTGTGCTTAGGAGACCTTGGCGAAGGCGCCAGCGATCCCACTCTCGCCGTCGATTCGCTGCCAAGACCTACCAGCGGTGATGGTATTGCTGAAGATGTCACCGCTCTCTTGTCCCAGACCCCCGACCGAGAATCCCAATATATTGCCCACTTGATCCCCTGTGGCCACAACCTTCATAATGAATGTTTGAAGCCCTGGGTAGAGAGAGCAAACAGCTGTCCAATCTGCAGACAAAAATTCAACGTTGTCGAGCTCGCTGAGCACCTTGGAGGTGAGGCTACCACCCTCTAAAAGGATAATCGCAGTTCCCCTTGAATACCCCGATATGCTAACTGCGCTTCTCATAGGCTCTGTCATCTCATCATATGCGGTCGAAGACCGAGTGCAGGTGGCGGAGATTGACCCGACGTTGATCATTGACGATCTTGTCGAAGATTCAGACTCCCAGCCGTGTCCGATATGCGGGGACGACGATAATGAAGATTTGTTACTGCTGTGCGATGGATGCGATACAGCGTCCCATACGTATTGCGTCGGCCTGGACTCCGTTCCATCTGGCCCCTGGTTCTGTTGCCACTGTGAAGGCCACCGGCCACTTCAGTCTGAGCCCTCTCGGCCTCGCAACCGATCTTCACGCCGTACACGCGCCGATGTGAGAAGAACCCGCACTCGCAACCAGATTCAAGCCCTGCACTGGGCGAGAGTCTGGCAGTCGGTGTGGGATCATCTTAATCTTGATCTGGACTTTCCCTTTGACGACGAACAAGCTGCGGACCGAATTATTCAGCAGCGTCGGCGTGAAGCAGCCAACAGAAGAGAATTTCGCACTTGGGAAAGACGATTCAGGCAGCCTGGGCGGACTCCCACAACTACTCGTTTTAGAACAAATGCTTCAGATTTGCTTGAAATAGGTCGAGGGTGGCCATCCAGACCAAGGCAACGGGTGGAAACTCCTGAGCCTGAGTCAATTGATGAAATCAGAGCATGGAACGCATTTGAAAGAGCACGAGAAATCCAAGAAGTTCCTAACTCCAACCGGCGAAAGCGGAAATCCCCCACCGCTTCTCCCGCCGAACCCGAACAACCCCAACCCGAGCGCAGATTAAAACGACCTCGGACCCGAAGACCAGAGGAATTAGCAGAGCTCTTAGAGCGTGGAGAATCTTCCAGAGCGGCAAGGCCTGTCAACTCTGCTGGAAGTCCGTCTGCAGAGTCTGGGCCAACATTTTTGCAATCACTTTTGAAAGAAGTCGAGGATTCATCCGGCCCTCACCGCATTAATGGCACGCTTCCTAACGCAAACGTCCCCTGCCAGTGTGTGGACTCAACCTCACCTGGGCCATCGTCTCCTGCGTTATCACCAACTTCTTCGAACCGCTCCTCCCCTCATCCATCATCCTACACCAGTCCTCAACTTACCAACGGTCCAACTACTCCTATCTCATCTACGTCTGACGCAGCGCTTTCCTCACCTGAATTTTCTCCCTCATGCTCTCCAGCACGCGATGCTGCTGGGGTAGATCAAACTCGCCTTTCCCGTCAGCTGAGACGGCTCCAACCAAGAAGAGACAACAATGATTCCTCGTCACCATCACGCCTTCGGTCGATAGAGTCCTCTCCCACACGCTCCGAACTTTCACTCCATGTTAAGTCCGATCTGCAAAAGATCGTCCGGGCCGCTTTGAAGCCCCATTATCGCAAGCACCTCGTCACGAAAGAAGAATATACTGAAATAAACAAGCGGATATCTCGCATGTTGTACGAATTTGCCGCATCCAAAGAGTCTGGAGACCCCATGGATGCGGAGAGCAAGGCAAGGTGGGCTCATATTGCCAACAACGAGGTGATGAAAGCTGTACAAAGAATCCAAGAACTAAAATCCAACGAAGCAAGCGATAGCAGCGGTGCCGCTTCATCTTGATGGGGTTATCCCATGTTGCAATATACCATGTATTATCATGTTTTTCTACGATGATCCTGTCATAATGCGCTGTCTGCATAGCACGGTGTTCTCTGGTTACAGCGTGGCATATTGCGCGGCTATAAATTTGATTTCAGGCGCCATATGGGTGGTTGGGCATAAAAGGATTTTAGTCCACGGCTAGGAGGAAAGGATCCTTGCGTTATTTGTTCTTTCTTCACTGGAATTATCGCTGTTACTCTACATTATCATCCCCGGCCTATAATCAATTTGAATGGTTCCAACCATTAACCTATTTGCAGCGTCCCTGTAGTGAATAGATCTTTTCGATCTCAGCTAAACACTTCGCTACATAGAATTTCGAAAACCCTACGTGGAAGGAATCCAGGGTTGATGGGAATGGGACCATCAAAATCCTCTACTAAAGTGGATGGGAGAACGCGTGTTCCAGTTTTACCCCAGCCGATGGCCGTTCGAGGGCGTAAATACTATAATAACTATGGAAGGAGATCCTTTTTCTTCAAATTTTCAGCTTGAAAGAAGCACACCACTCGTCATCTGTCTCCCAGGCCCCAACTGCTTTGTTAGGCGCCTGACAAGACACTATATCTCTCTGGTTGGCCACACTGATTCGACGTGGATGATCGGATGAGGGGATTAAGGTTGGCGAGAGTGGCAGATTGCAAGAGTGATCAGCATCAAGCATACTGCTCTCTCAGAAAAAACGTGCCGCAGCCATGCAGATCCAAATGTTCGTGGCTAACAGTGGGCAAGGCGTTTATTAACTAGTTTGCTTTGTTTGCACCCACTCCGCACTCCGCATTTGCCGGGGGCCAAGCAAGAAGCTTGATTCCAGCCGTCGATTCGTCTGCTAACAAGGATGCCGAAGCCCATAACGTTATGCTTTGATTCCATCACTCGTGACACCACTTTCCTGCGGCCCTTGTCACCAATCGATGCGTATTCCTGCTGGCATGGCCCGGTGCCGTTCCATCCGCTTAGCGCTCGTGAGGCGTCTGGGCAGGTGTCGAACCACGATGCCCAGTGGTAACCTCGGCTTGATGAAGCAATAATGGGGTTGAAGCGATTGTTCGCCCAAGGCTATTATCAATCAGCTCGTTTTAAAAAAATAGCAATAGCTCTGCTATTGGCTCTACCAGATAATGATCGATGTCATTATTGGTTAGTGATCTCAATTATATCATGCCGTTTTGGATTCGGCTTTAGTACATTTTGTCCCGGCCTTTCAGATAATTATTTATCGTTGTGAAAGTGCTGCGATTGCTTTCTCTTCTTTCTGCTATCTTTTTGGGACTTATTTAACTCCATCATGCCGATTATCACGATTGCTCAATTGTATTAGGGCTACGAATTTTGACGTAGGCCACGTTTCCCTCTTCAACGCCGTTGGAACTCCAAGACGCTCGGCGAGTCAAGCTTTTCTGTATGCCTGTTAAACCTTCTCTGTCAAAGCATATGTCAGGATGGATGCTGAGAAGCATCCACCATCGGAGCCGCCGTTTGAATCTGGTTCTACAACGCCACTTCAACACGTCTCCGGCCGTACTCCTCGCAGCGCAACTTCAGACGATAGTATAGGCAGTGATGCCACCGAAACTGAAGGCGGAATTCCGCAGAAACTTCCGTCATTGAAAAGTCCCAAAAACATTCAATACAACACAGATCTCGAGAAGGGGCCGGGCGGCTCTCAGTCTGAAAATCTACAGGCGGCCGTTCAACATGTAGACTCAAATCTGGTGGACTGGGACGGACCATCAGACCCGGAGAACCCCATGAATTGGGGCCTCGCGAAGAAATGGTACATAACCATGATGATGTCGGCAATGACGTTTTGCATCACGTTTTCCAGCAGTGTGTTCAGTCAGGCAACTGCTGTCACAGCGAAGGTTTATGGCGTTTCGACAGAAGTAACCACATTGGCAACAAGCTTTGTTGTTTTGGTGAGTCTTGTGGACTGGCATCTCCAGCTAGGATATCAATTTACCGCTAACATGCTTTGAAAGGGATTCGCACTTGGCCCGCTGGTATTCGGGCCGCTCTCTGAACTGTACGGTCGCCCAAGACCTCTTTTTGTTGGGTTTATTATCTCTGCAATATTCCAGATTCCTGTAGCTGTTGCTCAGAATATAGAGACGATATTGATATGCCGGTTTTTTATTGGAATGTTTGGCTCTGCAGCCATGGCGATTGTGGGCGGAGTTCTCGTGGATCTATGGGATCCCGTTAGTCGAGGAATAGCTGGCGCTACATTTGCCTCGTCTACGTTTATTGGACCGATAGCAGGACCTATTGTTGGCGGGTTTATTGTTCATTCGCACCTTGGATGGCGCTGGACCGCCTGGATCACGCTCATCTTAAAAGCCGTCATAGGCTGCATTTGTGTGCTCACGATACCTGAAACCTTCGGCCCATTGTTATTGCAGCGCCGCGCTGCTCGTCTTCGAAAGGAGACTGGCAACCCGGCCCTTCGCACGGCCCTCGATGACGCCCGCCCCACGATGCAAGACATCTTTTCAAAATACTTTAGTCGTCCGTTGAAAATGCTCGTACTGGAACCCATCCTGCTGCTAATCACTCTCTATCTTGCGATCACATATGGAATCCTTTACCTCTTCTTCTTCGCCTACCCAATCTCGTTCCAAGAAGTTCGTGGCTGGAAACACCCTGGCGTCGCTGCGCTACCGTTCATAGGACTCTTCATTGGGATCCTCGCTGGCTGTATGTTTGTCGTATACTTCACGAGAACACGCTTCGCGCGTAAGATGCGAGAAGCAGGATCCGTTGTGCCCGAAGAGCGTCTCCCGCCAATGATCGCGGCCGCCTTTATTCTTCCTGCAGGCCTCTTCTGGTTCTCATGGACCTCCTCTCCTACAATTTCCTGGGTTCCGCAAGTAATTTCTGGGATACCCACTGGCTTCGGAATAATCGTTATCTTCTTACAGGGGCTCAATTATCTTACGGATATATATATGATGTTCACGAATTCTGCGTTTGCGGCCAACACGCTTGTTCGGAGCGGGTTCGGCGCCGCGTTCCCGCTGTTTGCGGCGCAGATGTTCCATAAGCTAGGTGTCCGGTGGGCAGGCAGTCTTTTGGGGTTTTTGACCGTGGCCATGATTCCGGTGCCGATGCTGTTTTACGTGTACGGGAATAAAATCAGGGCGATGAGTCGGTTCAGCCCAAAGTTATAGAACGAAGTAATAGCATACATAGTTCATAATATATCGCATTTCACATGCATTGCAGCATAACACTGAAGTTCCCCTTTTTCCTGGTTTCGCTGATCGTCTGAAGAGGATATCTGTGTTATGTAATCAAGCTCGTGTATCTCCACGTGACAGTATGGGCAGCTAAGCCCGATACGGCAGAAAGTGGATACCTTGGCCACGCTGCGACGCGTGAGGGGAGATTAGCTCAGCGCCAGGTCGCGCTTCAGTCGAGAAAATAACAGATTCGCAGGCCGTTGTGAGGCTTCCTTGACGGTTTTTGCTCCGTCACATAACGCTTGAAACTCCAGGCTGCAGGCCCACCTGTCAGAGCTCGAGTCAATCCGCCAGCTTTTCTCAACGCATACGCACGTTCAGTGGATGGCACTCAGCTTCAACACGCTGAATCCTAAAGGGCAACGCGGTTTTGGAATTGGCCCCGTGGTGGATGCTGCGATTGAGCAAGGGTAGGGCTGCGAATTAAAGATGCCGTCGCGCAATCGGCAAGCGCATTCATCCGCAACGGAGGCAGCGGAGGAGGAACAGACCGGTCTTCGTCGACTCCGCTTCAACGAGCCGATCTCATGGCGGGCAGGCAGACAGATTCTCGTGGCGGATTTGCTTCGGCGACTGGAATCTCTCGCTGCTGAGCTGCGGGAGCTCGACCAGGAAGATACGGATAGGGATTCGTTGACAAAGGTCTCACAGGAGCTGGCGAGCGGACATCTTCTCGGACACAGAGATAAAGGTGTCAGAGCCTGGACAGCATGCTGTGTGGTGGACATATTGCGCTTATGCGCGCCGGATGCGCCGTTCACTGCGAACCAATTGAAAGTAGGACTCTTCTCCCGACATAGGTCAAGTTATCAGGAGGCGTTCCCAGCTGATGAATGCCTTGTGGAAAAAAAATAGGATATTTTCACCATGATCGTCACTTCTATAATACCCGCTCTTGCAAATCCGTCCAATGCCTATAATGACCAGCATGTCTACGTTCTATCATCGCTAGCCGAGGTCAAAAGTATCATTTTGTTGACCGACCTTGATGCGCCTGATACGTTGATCCTCCCGCTCTTCTCGTCTTGCTTCGATATCGTCTCTGGATCGTCGAAGGCTTCCACTGGTGAACCTTTAGCCAAGAACGTGGAGTACGACATGATACGGCTTCTAGTGCCCGTTATTGATGAAGCATCCAGCCTTGCCCCAGAAGTGGTGGATGCGATTATTGCCCAATTTATTCGTGTCGATCCACGACTTCTGGATGGTTCCGGAAATTCCAAAACTAAAAAAGATGCCGTGGTTGATACGAAGCAGGCAACTTTATTGATGAAGGATTATCCTCCGGCATATAATATGGCAAAGGCCATATGCAACGCATGCCCTGAAAAGATGACGAGCTATGTTAGTCAATATTTCAATAACGTTATCATCGATGCGTCGGAATCAACGTCCAATGGACACTCAAAGCGCCATCGTCATATTGATCTTGGCGATTCCGACGAGGAGGGAGAAAATGTTAAAGAATTAGACAAGGCACATCGATTGATACGGGAATTATGGCGTGCTTGTCCAGATGTTTTGCAAAATGTGATACCCCAGCTGGAAGCAGAGCTTTCTGCGGAGTCGATGTCCCTTCGATTGCTTGCGACACGGACAATCGGCGATCTAGCTTCTGGTATCGGCGTGGCAGGACCGCCTCCGCCTGCGTCCATGGATCCAGCTGCATATCCTCCAACGTCACTGAATAGCGAATCTGGATCTGAAATTTCGACTTCCTCGAATGCATTATTAACGCCTTTGTCTCCCAGGCCTTTTTCGCAAGCCCATTCTGCCGCATACGAAAGCTTCCTAACCCGACGACATGATAAGTCCGCATCAGTGCGTGCTGCCTGGGCTACTGCGATTGGGCGGATTTTACTCACTTCTGCCGGTGGCTCGGGTTTGAGCGATGACGAGGAGAAAGACTTGATGGAAGGGCTTAAAAGGATGCTAGTAGACGCCGACGAGAAGGTTAGGATTGCAGCTGTGAAAGTTCTTGGAACTTTCTCCTTCCCCAACGTGATTAGAAAGCTTGGTATAGATGGCGGGCTCTCGGAATCGGACTCCCTTCTCTCCACTTTGGCCGAACGAGTGAAAGATCGAAAACATGCCGTTCGTCAACATGCTATGACCATTCTCGGAACAATGTGGGCCGTAGCCGCGGGGGAGATTGAGGTGAATAATGAGCTGGTTGTCCCCATCCTCAAAGACGCTCCGTCAAGGATACTCGAAGCTTATTACACCAATATCAATGAAGTCCACGTTCTTCTTGACCACGTCATATTCGAAATCTTACTTCCCCTGACCTATCCTCCGCTTAAAATGAAACGCTCGAAAACCGAGTCAAGCCAGTCGCGAAAAGCAAAATCCTCCGAGGAAGAGCAAATTGACCCAGAGGCCATACGTGTCCGCCGAATCTTGACCTTGGCGAAGAATTTAGACGAAAAGGCGAAGACAATACTCTTTGCTCTTCAAGGTCGACAATTGAATATGAGGACCTTTGTGAGCTTCTATCTACAAGCCTGCGAGGAATATAATGTGAGCTTTACCCTTTTCTTAACCGACGTTGATCAGTGCTCATCAACTCTACGTAGGGAGGCGTGATGGATAGCAACGAAGATGCGATCAAGACCAGGTTGACGAAGGTTATTGATTCTTTATCGAAGACTTTCCCTGACTCCTCGCTTGTATCGGCCGACCTGTGGAAATTTGCAAAAATGCATGATCGCCGCAGTTATCAGCTTATACGTTTTGCCATGGCTGCTACATCGGACTACCGAACTGTGACCAAAGCCATTAGAGAGCTAACAAGTCGTATCCAATCAAACACCTCGGCCACTTCATCCATGCTTGGAAACCTTCTTCCGTTGGTCTATCGGAGTAGCTCCTTGATCTTCAACCGAAGCCATGTACCCGCCACGATGAAAATATCGAGAACTGACGAGTTGGGATTGGGAAATATAGCACACGAGATGTTACGAGAGATTTCGTCACATAATCCGGAGGTGCTTGAAGCACATGTACAGGAAATGTGCAAAGATTTAGAATCCCATGCTCCTACAGCTAACCTCCCAGACGACCCAGGTGTGGAGGAGATCCTAAAAGCTTGTGCGGGGTTTGCGAAGAAACTCCCGAATAAGCTACCAAAGGAACGAAAGTTCTTAGCTGCACTGTCAAACTATGCGTTATACAGCTCATATCCTCACGCGGCTAAAAATGCGGTTACGATTCTCATGGCCGCTGCGGAGACGAAGGAGATGTACGCTAGGGATCTGATCAAAAAGAGCATCCACGGGTGTTCATACGGCGCTGAACACTTCCTTACCAAACTTGCTACGATCTCACAGCTAAACCTCCTTGTCCCACGAGAAGTTGATGAAGAAGGGGATACGGTCCTCGATATTGCGACCAAGCAGATCCTGCTCGCTAACCTTAATCCTGAACCGGATTCGGAATATGCATGGTCTGCCACTATGGATGAAGAGACCTCAGCGAAAGAATGGGCGCTCAAAATCCTTGTGAACCGGATCCGGTCAAAAGAAATCTCCGAAGAAGATGAAAGCCACTTTCGGGAATATGCCCAACCTGTATATACTATTCTCAACACCCTCATTGCGAACTGGGGTGAGCTCTCTAAAGCGAGAGATACCCCTGCGTCTCAGAAGTCAAGGCTTCGCCTTCTGGCTGCGAAATCCGTTCTTAAATTATGCGCAGCTCGCCCCCTGTGCGATCGGATGCTTACTGCCGCCCATTTTAACTCGCTTGCCCTAGTTGCCATGGATCCCCTGTTAGAAGTGAGATCTGAATTTATATCCCAGCTGAAAAAGAAACTGGTGCAACCACCGCATCTTTCTCCTCGTTGGTATGCTATCACATTTTTACTAGCGTTTGAGCCAGTTACCAGCTTGTATGATAGCACCTTGACCTGGCTCCGGTCCCGCACTGCATTCTTCTCTCGACAAGTCCAAGGCAAATCTCCAGAACAGCAGACACTAATGGAGTCTCTCTTTGCACGCCTCCTGTCTCTCCTTGCCCATCATCCTGATTATCCACCTGAGGACTCCGATGAGTCGACTAAAGCTAAGGACTTACTCGATTTCACGCGCTATATCCTATTTTACCTTACTGCAGTTGCAAACGAAAACAATCTTTCTTTAATTTTCCACATTGCCCAACGCGTGAAGCAGACGCGAGATGCAATATCGGAGACTGAGTCGGATGTGATATCCACCAGACTTCATACGTTGTCCGATCTTTCACAAGCCACAATACGCCGCTTTGCAGAGGTATATTCCCAACAGCACAAGATTGGCGGCAGCAGCGGAAGTGGAGCTGCAAATATCCTACAGACATATCCAGGCAAGATGAGACTTCCCGGTTCTTTATTTACTACACTCAGCAGCCATCGCGAGGCTCAGGAGATCGCCACGAAAAATTTCCTGCCGCAAGAAGTCGACGAGCGCTTAGATAAGAAAGTTCGAGATTTTATGAGGCCTAAAACGCACGCAGGCAGAAAACGGAAAGTTGAGCTAGGACATGGCGACAAAAGCCGCGACGAAGCAATGGGATCTGCTAAGAAGCCACGCAGGGAGAAAAGTAGCCGGAGAAAGTCATCTTCTGGAACAGCCGGAACTAAGCCTACCAAACGGAGAAAAGCAGATGAAGATGATTGGGAGAGTGACGGCGGAGAGACTCGCAAGAAATATTCCGGTTCCTCTTCTTCTGCTGCTCGACGACGAAGTGGTCGCGGATTAACGAAGACGGATATCAATTACGCCGAAGAAGATAGTGATGAGGCTGATAAGGAGATGGAAAAATGGAATACAAGCCATGGTCGGAAGGAAAAGGTGGAAAATAACCATGACTCTCCCGATTCAGATGATGAAGAGCAGCTGTCCGAGCTTTCCTCCAACAATAGCGATAAGGGAACACCGCCATCAGACGAGGAGCCCGACGAAGACGCTGATATGAGCGGCGTCGAGAAGTCGTCTACACCGCCTCCCCAGGCTCGAAGAAGCTCCAGATCTAAAATTTCGCTGTCCCCCGTCGTCCCAAAAGCCGGGAGGGGCAGGCCACCAAAGTCAAGACCGAAGGAAGTGGAAGAAAAATCAGCGAAGAAGAAAACTGCAGGGGGTAGAGTGACACGTCGAGGTCGTTGAAGTGTGATAATTTCCTATATAATCCACTGTTGACTATATACGTGGTAGCTTCCTGGCAGCAAAGCCTTGTGTTTCCCTTTTCTACGTGTTCCACCCCGAAACTATTTCCGATGTATATGTGCCATATTTCCCAGTGATTCTCATCTTCACTTTGATTTTAGGGTCGATTTTTCACTACGAGTGAGTAGTTATGCGGCTTGAACAGTCTCCCTTCCGTCGACTAGCTAGTCAGTTCTGAGGTTCTTCAAGTGCAAATCTAGCGGTTCATGTATGATGTTAGCAGCCTTTACAGATTAAATATGACCCTGTGTTTTCCCTATGCCTACGATGCGCGAAGCTTCTGGGAAGATTCGAGTTAGCCAACAGTGGATTCTGAGAGCATGCAAGTAAATATTGCCTGTGCTGCAATTCAATTCTTTCAGGGCAGGTTAATCTTCATCGGTATAACGGGTCATGAAGGGACCAGCGCTTCAAACATAGACTTGCAACATTCCATCCACGCTCAAACACGTACGAATAACTGTTTGATGATTCTCAGGGCAATATCACCGGAATGGAACAACTGGTGGAACGCATTCTCAATGTGTGTTTGGAGGAAGTCTCCTGGTCGTGAAGGGTACAGGAATGCTGGAGCCAGACGGTTCGTATTCTGTTCCTCGTGGATAGTTATTTGCACAAAGTAGTCTTTATAATATCCAATAAAATTCAAATGGAAATACTTGGTTGTCATTGCTGAAAAAATGTCTATTCAATCCAAGAGATGCTCGCTTTCATGAACACAGGTATATACATACCAATCTATACCCTCCCCCAAAACTCCATAATGTACCTTATCAGGCTTGAAACTCCGATGTACCCAATGAACAAAAATTCCGAATCGCGTTTATAACTGGGAAAATGATCACAGGAACGTAATATAAAGCGTTGTTTAAAGCCTCCAGGGCTGGGGAGTCAACTTTGACCTCCCTGCTTCGTCTTATTATTCCCCTTGCACCATGTTCGGATGGGCCTGTCCTTCTCTATCTTTGATGCCTAGGGTATGTAATAAGGATGGGTATTCGAGCCTATACCATTCGTCGCATTGGGGAGACAAGAGTGATCGTCAGAAGTTCGACATCGGGAAATGAGCACCTTCTATCGTCATAACCAGGTGTCAATAGCTATAATAAGCGCGGATCATTCGATCTGTTGTTCTGTCATATGTTCCCGTTCCATATTCTCCAAAGCTTGAGTCAGTCCTTCAATCATCTTCTTCGCCGCCGCCTCATGGCTAGCCAGACTGTTCCGTCTTGAAGGCGGTGCCCAGGTACCCATGGGCGACAGCTCTGACACCATTGACCTGGGCCTGTCCGACATGGCGGCGGGAATCGAATACGCAGCCAGCCTTTTCAAATGCTCCTCATCGAAAGGGCCACGGTACTTTGAGCGCGGTACCTCGTGGGGCTTGTATAGCTCGATAATGGGATTCCCGTCCTTTCCTACCCTCGGCTTCACTTTGACCGTCTTGACTCCCGCCAGAACTACAGTTGTAGCCTTGGGTTTGGAAGGATGGGGACACGAAGACGGGGAGTTGGAGTTGGAGGAGCCGGAGGTTGTTCGGGAGAAGACCCGTTTCATCTTTTCGCGGATCGGCATCGTTGCCCGCCGAATAGCTAGATTGGAAAGTATCTTGTTATATATTAAAGAAATCTTAAGAAAGAAGAAAGCAGGGGCGGATCTGCCGATCAGCCGTGCAAAAGAAGGCCGCAAAAGCGGTAGTGTACCCGACACAAGCGATAGTTGATTGCAGAGGTTAATACCAAGCGGAAAGACGACGGGCATCCAGGGAATCGTCGCATCTCTCCCCAGAACGTATGAGATTAGCCAGGTATCCCCGTAAAGAAATAGAAGGCGGGAGAATCTTCCAATTCAGCCGCGCCTGGGACGGGAAAAGGAGCAAGAAGACAAGGTCATTGGGGAGGGAAAAACTAAGGGATGTTGAGGTGACCATCCCAACTGTCTTACCTTGGGAGGCAACAGTTCATTGGGACCTTTCGCCGTCTTTTCCGGGGAAAGCCCATGGCCCGCCGTTGCGTCTCCCACCTTTTTTAACGCAGGAAAACCTTGTACTCCACACCGAATCATATCTCTCGCGTAGGGCGGAATGCAACCTGGCTTGACTCCATGGTTACAGAGGTGAGAAAGGGAGCGGCTTAGCACCCTCCGACCCGAGAAGCACGGACTCAAGAAAAATAGCGAGTTTTTTGTGGTTTTGGAGGGATATATATCACCTGGGTAATGAGGCGGAAAGTGAAGTGTCTTAAAGTGCGCCGTCGAAAATAACACCCCCGTCCAAGAGACCCAATTGATATCTGTCATTTGTTGGCCTCAAATGCCTCATTAGAAGTCGCACACGAAGATTCGTGGGCCAAATATCACAGCGAAGCTCTAATACTGCGCCATCTCGACGGCTGATCGAGAACATTGTTGGAGAAATTGAAGAAAACTGACGTCGAATCTGTTCACTTTTTTTTTTCCAAAATATTTGGCAAATGCCTTTTCATTGCCGCTCGGTCTCCGCAAACCCAAAATCAAAACCAAAATCTAATCATACAAAGCCCAGAAAGGACATGGCATATCATCATCATTCACAGCCACCAAGCTCAAATCCGAAAAAAAAAAACGAACAAACCCATCCTTCAAAATAATATCCCGTATGCTCCAGGTGGATAAAGTAGGGGGCGCGAGGAGTAGAGAAGTAGGATCAAACCTATTCAAGACCGGGAATCGTTACACTCCGAGTCCTTGGACTTCGACCATCGTGTGAGAGCGGGGAGCGCAAGCGCATACCCATCCCTGCCACGCAGCTTCTCTTGCGAGATGGGTGACGACGAAAGACGGGTACAACAACTTTGCTCGCCAACAACGCCCACATCAACGAATCGAAATGCAGAGGGAAAGGGAGGGGGCAGGAGGGTGAAGGAGCGGGAAGAAGGGAAGCGGACGACCGAGCAGGCGAAAAAAATAAAACAAAATAAAATCAAAAAAGCAATCAGAACAGGATGCCAATAGGCAGACAAAACGGTAGACAGCGGGCAAAAGCCCGTACAAAATCCCAGCGCCGTCTATACCCTTTTTTTTGGTGTGCAAACAACTGTAAAACAATCATAATCCTGTAAACCCAAGCAACCGCTTTAAAAGAAAAAAAGAGATAAACGAAACCCAAGCTCGACCCAATGCACCGACCGCCATGCAAAAAAAAAAAAAAAAAAAAAAAAAAAAAGAAAGAAAGACAGAAAGGAAAGGGAAGGAAAAAAGAGAGAAAACCAAAAGAAAATCCAAATCCTTTTGAAACCGAAATATATTTTGAATCGTTTTGCTGTCACCGACAAACCCAATCCCGGCGAGAACCAAGCCCTGGGAACACAACTGCCCCTGATCAGTTGTGGATTTGCCGTCTAGCAAAACGAGCAACCAAATCAGCCAAAGCCGCTAACCCGCGCGCACCGCTCATTCAGCACGTCAAACGGTATGATTCGAGGACGTCAAGTAGTTACGATCGCGGCACTCGAAAACAGACCAGACCACAGAATATGAACTTCGATTCTTCGCGACCATGTAGATGTAACTATCGACCAGCTCGACATCATACGGAGAGAAATTGATAGTCGGACAAGTATGCGCAAGCATCTGACAACTGAGTTATTGATCCCGCCAATTGACCTCCCTCTTGGTTAGGTCCGTAGCTAAAGCTCCGGAGAGGGGAATTAGTTGGTAACGTCAGTCGACGAAGTCGCAGCCAGTTCACAGAGGCGCTGGCTGATCAGACCTTGGAGAGATTGAAGGAGCTCAACCTCACTTGTCGCGTCGCGGATCGTCTCCGGCGAGTCCGCAACGAGCTGAGACACCAGCTGCCCTACCCGGCTAGAAGCTGGTTGAGGTTCTGCCATTACCAGAAGGGCCATGGCACCCTCGCGCTCTTCGGGACGAAGATTGGCCAACACAGAATCTGCATTGGCAACCTCGTTCGAGGATCCGGGTGTCCCCCCAGCGGGGACCAGTAGGGCCCGGGCTTGTTCCTCGGCTGCCTTCATGGCTTTGAGCGCTTTGTCCTCAGCGTATTCCCGTTTGACATGCTGAATGAAATTTTGGATGAGGCCGCGCTCGCTCACCCGGTAACTCTTTCCATAAAACTCTTGTTCATGGAAAGTGTCGATCTCGTAGCTTGGCGGGAGAAGCTCAAGATCCTCATGCTCATGGTGGCGGCGGCGTCGACGAAGTCGAACACCACCGAGTGCGTGGAGCATGTTGTCCAGGTGGTTGGGACACTTCCAGTAATGCCGTGGATTGCTGCTCCCGCTGAATTGCAGGGGGGGATGTGTGTAATTTTCATCCAGGCAGTCGAGATGCCAGTACAGGGAGCAATGATCGCACTTCATGATTTGTCGCTCACCGTCCAGGTTGGCTCGGTGGCATTTCGCGCAGAAAATTAGCTTCCCTTTGGCATCCCGCTCGACAAAGACCTCGGCGCGGCGCTCCTCCTTTTGCTTAGGATTGAGCTCGCTGACTCCCTCAGTCACTGTCGGTGGAAGTCTCTCCTCCCGAAGAAGTTGGTACGATCCGTCTGGTGCGGTGTGTACCTCTGCGAACTCCTCGCGGATCTCGGTCGGCACCTCGTAGCGTGCGCGGGGAATGGATCCCATCGCCGCTTCAAACACCGCCCCAGGACCCTTTCCTTCGCAGGTGGTGCAGAACCACCGACCTGCCGGCGGGAAATTGGCATCCAGAGGCGGGTTGAGGCAGCCGAAATGGAATGAATCCACGCACCCGTCACAACACAAGAGGTTGCCTGTACCGTTGCACACACGGCAGAAATCGATGTTATCGACCTCTTCCGCATGCGCACGCGATCTGCGAGTTTCATCAGACCCCACAGAAATGACATCGTCGTCCTCAGGGAGACGCACAACCCGCCGGGGAGGCTGAGGCTGTGGTACAATTTGAGTCCGGACGTCGCTTTCGCGGACATGATATCCGGGGAACTCCTCCTTCAGAAGCTTACTCTTCTTGGCTGCAAGTGCCACAAGCTCAGGATCTTCGGGTCTTCTCTTGCGGCCGCGGCCGCTGAGAACGGGAGCCACCCCGGAACCTGTTGATGCAGCCTGTTCCGACCCCACATTCTCAGATTCGGCGGCTTGCGCCACCTCCTCCGATACTGGAGCCGGAACATCAGCTGGCTCTGAACTTGCAGCGGCCAAGGCTTCAGCCTCCAAAGACTTGGCGGTCGAGAGTGAAGATGTTGAATCTTCACGTCCCAGAGCGGCGGCGGCGGTGGTGGCGGCGGGTTTTTCGGCTTTAGCTTTCTTGACGGCATCCCGCAGTGCAGTTTGAAACACGGACATGTTGTCGGTAGTTGGCTCGGCGACAACATTGTCCATGATCTTCAAGAGAAATGGATCTGTGCCTGAGGCATCCAGCATCCAACGAAGTCCCTCCGCGACTTTGGTGTCCTGAGACGCCTCAGCTCGCGAGATAGCTGACCCGAGGACTTCGTTAAATCTCTCTCGGCTGCATTTGAGATCGACCGGGATGGACGGCGCCGTCGATGAATTGACTGGCTCAGCACCGTTGGCGTCAAGATTGCTGCCGGATGTCGAACGAGTCTGTCGGGCATCATGCTCATTATCTCCGGTAATATTTTCATCGGCTTGCTGGGTGGGTGTGTCTTCTGGTGTCGTTGATTCTTGAGCAGATGTGGAAGCAGCTGTCGACTCGTTGATAGCCTGCTCGACGGCTTGAGCGGCTTTGGCTGATTTGGTTGTGTTGGTAGATTTTTTTGATTTCTTTCTAGACCATCTCGACTTCGCAACTCGGCCTCGTTTTGACTTGGGTTTCTTCTTTGGAGCTGGTTTTGGGGCTGGCTTCGGGGTACTGACGGGCTCTTCATCCTCGAGCAGTTTTGCAATTTTGAGGTTGGAGCGTGTGGGACGGGCACCAAGTGCGAATTGACTCTGGAAGATGCCACCACGCTGCCATCCAGCGTCCACAAAGCTTGGTCTCAGCTTGGCCTCTGGAGGTTCTTTCCAGGTTGACTTTGGCAAGTACCAGTTATTTTCCTGGCAGGGAGGTCCGTTTCGTTCATGGAGGGGAGGGATTATAATGTTGCGAAGGGCAGGCTGCTGGGGCGCGGCATCCTGGGAGGCTTGCTGCTGTGTAGATTCCTGATCGGCCTGTGAAGGGCCAACTCTGGTCTTTCTCTGCCTCTGCCGTGTTGGCTCTTCGGAGTCAACGGGGACACTTGTGTTTGCGCCTGTTTTACGCTGTTTTTTAGGACGGGAGTTCTCGGAGCCGGCAGCAGTAGTATTGTTTTGCGGCGCATCGAGAGGGGTTGAAGGGCGAGAGGATCCTTGAGTAGCAGCACGAGTGCGAGATCGAAGTTGAGGAGCCATTGCGATTGAACGAAGCTCTTCTGCAGCTTGCGATATTTAATCTGCGCGCAGTTAGCTCAGGGCACTCAAATAGAACGATGCAGAGGCACTTACTAAAAGTAAAATCACAAGCTGACAATGGACACACCACGCGTTGTTGTCGTGAGAAAGATTGGGCCGCGTGTGGTTGTGGCCGTTGGCGGGAGTTGAGAAGTTTTGAAAGGGAGAAAATGAAGATGGCGGATTTGAGGGAGCTTTGGGGTCAAACTCCTCGCCGGAAAAAGGGACTGTCCACAAACACACAGAGTCGACCGCACAACGGGAAGTTAAAAAAAAAAAAAAAACTCGCTGCTTTGACTTAAAAAGTCGTAGAATCGATCGGTTTTGACGCGGAAATGCGTTTTGATTATACAGATACTCGGATTTTCGAGAATCTGTTAGAAAAAAGGATGCAGAACGTGTGGTTCAGGGGCTGTGAGATCGAGAAGTGAATGAAGGAGAATGACGCGAGTAAAGTAGGCAAAAATTAGCTTAAACGATTCTTCTTGTGCAGGAGATATTCTCTACGCAGAGAGATCGCGCGAGGTTGATGGTGGAGTGTGAGGATTTGGAGGCAAAGATCGATGAAGATGAAGTGATGATGAGCCAAACTGCGTGCCACTTGGGTCAGGAGTGACGCGAGTAGAAAAGAGTGAGAAGACGCCGAAACGATCCCTCGTCACTGAAAGAAATAATCTCTAAGTAGAGAGATGGAAGTGAATTTAAACGTAGAATGTGAGAAGTTAGAGGTAAGAATCGATGAATATAAAGACGTAATGAGCCGAAGAGGAGTTACTTGTGTCAGAGAGTGACAAATAATAAAGAAGAGTGAGAATGCGGCGAGACGATTCTTGACGAGCCAGAGATGGTCTCTATGAAGAGAGATGAAGTGAATATGAAGGTAGAAAAGTGACGAGAATCGGTGAAGATGAAGGAGTGGAAGGCGTCGAAGAGAGAGTTTTTTAGAAGTAAGAGAACTTGATAGCAAAGCAGAGTAGATGAACCGTGATGGATAAACGCTTTTGAAGCAGTAGATTTGAAGCGTGATGAAGCTATTTGTGCGATGTGAAAGCGTGGAGGGAGGAAAGGTGGAAAGGAAGAGAGAGAGAGAGAGGGAGAGAGAGCAGAGAGGAAGGGAGATTTTATATCGCCAGGAGGAGTCTCCAGATCAACCAGCAGAGATTTCCGTTGCTAGGCGGGAAGGACAAAGAAACATAAACAGTCTCGCGGAGAGCTCCGTGGCATCGGGTTGCAAGTGAGAGCTGGACGCGCTGAACTTGTATGGCGTCTCCTCACTTGGGACTTCCAGGCATCTGTTGAACCCCCCAAAACAGGCGGCGATTCCCGGCCATCCTCTCCGCCTTCGAGGGCTTTGTGTTCCTTTCACGGCTCCCAACTGGCCCTGATCTCTCGAGTGAAAGTCTATCTACCGTTTCCCGATGTCCTGGTGCTAGCATTTTACTCGAAGGGACGGGGTATTGCTAGGGAAGACCTGGCCAGGCAAGGCGCACAATCATATTCATTTGCTCGAGTAAGGCACGTAGCTATTTAACAGTGTCTCCTGATCCGCAGCTATCCATCCAAGTCCCGCCATCAAGGTACAGATCGCTGTAGAACCTTTTTGAAAATCAAGAGAGTCCCAAGTAGATAGATCCCTAAGCGAACAGACACCAGGTCACCACACAGTACCGAGTCCAGCTGCCACAGAACGGAAACATCCTGAAAAAAAAGAAAAAAAATGAAAAAGGGGAAAAGGTAGAGTGAGTGCGTTTACTCCTCCTCGCTCGAAGACTCTTCAGCATCCTCGGCCTGCTTCTTAGCGGGCTTCTTCTTCTTCTTCTTGTTTTTGCCTTTGGCGCCTGTGGATTTGGCAAGGGGTTTCTCGAGGATCTTCAGGATTTCTTCATCTGTAATCTTCTTGTCGGATTCGACCTTGGAGAGGTCGAGTGGAGGAGGGGCGGCCAGCCGGGTCAGGCCGTTCTTGAGAATGGCTAAAAAGTTGAAAAGGTCAGGGGAAAATCCACATAGACAAAGAGTCACATCCGGCTGCGGGCTTCATTCTGACAGCGGTGTTTCGCACAGGGATACGGGGTCACATACCAACAGTCGTGAGCAGTCGAGAAACCGGAGCACCGTCGGCCTCTCCAGCGGGATCGTACTGGCGAACAACTCCACCACGGACACACTCGACTACACCAACCTTGCCGGCCTTCTCATCGTCAAGCTGACGGAGACTGAACGGGAAGGTACCGAACTTCCTGACAATCTCAGATAGAGTCTGTCTGGAGCTTGGTCGCTTCAGGATATAAGTGGTGGTGGTACGACGATGCAGCGTGGCTCTGTGCTCGAGGGTCTTGACTTTGCCAGATCCAAGACTGAGTCCAACCTCAACGCCCCACACTTCGGGGACCTCGGGGCTCCCCTCTCCCTTCACGCCTGCACCGGGTGCAACGATGATCTTCTTCTTTCCCTCGATTTCATTGTGCTCAAAGAGCCAAGTGGTGGTGTTCTCGACCACGTTGCAGTCATAGCTCTTCGCCACTTTCTCTAGCAGAGTGGAGATCTTTGCTTGAGTGGGGGGCCTTTCAGCTGCAGCTTTCTTCTTTTCTTCCTCTGTGCCAGTCGCCAAAAGGCCCGGAGGGACCATGAGTCTGAGGAGAAGCTCATTAGCGTAGTAGGTAGCTAAGAGCAAGTCTGCCTCACGGCCGGTGATCTTGTCCTTGGGACCACCGGCGGATGGGACGATGATGGTATCACAAACAATGGTTCCAAAACCATCGATTTGGGCGCCCAGTTGGATCTTCACAACCTCGCCCTCTTTCAATGTTGTCGCAGCTTCCTCCGCATCGGACGCCAAGGGAGTATATGGTGTCACATACGAACTCGGAGAAACCGTAGTTGGGTGAGAGATACCTGAGATAGGATATTATTACAGGACCACGACGAAAAGAAGCAGGGTTAGATGACGGTATGAATGTCTGGAGAGCTGCAAACTGTGGCAGAACCAGGCGAGCCGTACGGACCTTTCGGGACCTTTTTGCCCTTGTAGACCTTGCTCACTTCCTCATCCAGGAGCTTATCACCCTTCTCGCACAGCTCCAGGATCTTTGCGCCCTCAACGCACCATCCTGTATTCAGTGTCAGCTTTGCATCCGGCTTGAGTCAGAGGCCCCATCGCGTCTTATCCCTCAACGTGTACACGACTGTGACTAGGGAGGATCCGGGGATGGAGAAGACGGCACCTGTGACGGCCTCGAGGACTTTGTGAGAGATCTGGGCGGCAGTCTTGTACTTGGTTAGGGTGTCGGGGTTGTTAAGGGTGTAATCTATCGCGATTTTCGGTCAGCTTTTCTGGTCGACTCAAGAGCACACGACAACGTCCTCTCTGCTTAGGACCCATAGCAAAGGTTCGAACGGCGGGGATATATAGTGGCAGCCCAGAAAATTAAAACAAAGGAACGACAGCAAAGAAGGCTGCTGTCAAACCCACGAAATATCGGACAAAGCAATGTGCTCGATTTAATTTTTTGACTACGGCCACGAGACGGAGCAGAACTCACCAACTTCAGCTGATTCGGCCATTTTGGATCTTCAGGTGGTGAGCGATGGCGGACGTTTTTCGCCAAAGCTGCAGCAGCGAGAGCAATAATCCCAATTGAAGTGTTTGGCGGAACCACGGTGTGGACGTGAGTCGTGTGAGCTTTTTTTAAAGGCCTAGGGGAGGTTCAGGCCGGGTTGTTGGTTCAACTTAGGTGGGGTGGAGGGGAATATTAAGCGGTTGCAGGTTGATGGTGGGATTTCCCGTGTGGATTCGCGCCCGGCCTCTGGGATGCTGCGAATGACGTACCGGCCGCCGCGCCCGCACCCAGACCCAGAGACAGCTGGCGCGCAAGCCCCGACAGTTGCGAGCAACAAGCGAGCTACAGAGTACACCACATCGATATTCGATGTCCAAGGTAAGTTCTGCTTGAGGTCTCTCGGTATGTATCCGCTGTACATACGCTGGGCCGCAGGCTTGCTTTGTCGCGTGCGGCTTTGGTCCACGCCGCGCATGAAGACCATCACATGATGCCTGATCAACAAATGCAGGGAAGCGAGACGACGGCTGCTATGAGAATAAGATAGACCGCATCGTCTGCTGCAAGGTCAGGGGACAGAGAGAGATAGGCTCGATAGCGACTCTACCAACTGCCTGCCCATCGCCTCTCTGTGATTTCTCTCGTTCCAGCCCGCATCAGAGAGGAAGCTTGATTTGTTACTTTGTGAGAAACAAGGAAACCCAACTATGCAGCTAGACGGCCCGCTGTCTATCCGTATACTTACCCATAACATTCGCTATGCAACTTCGCGTCCATTCAAGGGCGAGAAGCCCTGGCCAGAACGAAAGCATCTAGTCCTGAATGAGCTTATCTTCCATACAAGACACAACGCGGAGAGTTTCATCTGTCTGCAGGAAGTGCTCCACGTCCAGCTCGAGGACGTCCTGTCCGGCCTGAATTCCCATGGGGACGCATGGGCGTACATTGGAGTAGGCAGGGACGACGGAAAGCAAGCCGGTGAATATTCCCCGATATTCTATCGCCCTGATATTTGGAAGCTGGAGACCTGGGAGACGGTCTGGCTCTCCGAGACCCCTGAGGTGCCCTCGAAAGGCTGGGATGCAGCCTCGATCCGCATCGTAACCGTCGGAGTGTTCAGACATCGGGCTAGTCGAAAGACGGTGCTTGCAATGTCTACGCATCTCGATGACCAAGGGTCCAAGTCAAGATATGAATCTGCTAAGCTCATTCTGCGGACAATTGACGGGTACCTTCACAAATTCAAAGACCGCATCTCGGGCCTTTTCCTTGCGGGAGACTTCAACAGCGAGGTCAACCAAGAAGCATACCAGGTCTTTATCGATCAAACTTCTCCTCTAGTCGACGCCCGAGACCAGATCAAGCCTGACGAGCGCTATGGTAATGAAATCACCTACACGGGGTTTGGATACGAGGGAGAACGGGAAACCCGCATTGATTACATCCTTGTCGGACCCAAAAATGAGCAAGGTTTCCCGTGGACGGTGAAGCAATATGGTGTGTTGCCTAACAAATTCGACGATGGTGTATTCAGCTCCGACCATCGTGCAGTCGTTGCAGATGGCCTTGTGGATTGTTAAACGTCGCGATTCACTCCAAGCCGCTTCTTTTCTCCTTTCAAGGTCAATGTTAATATGTATCACGTGACTGAAGTGGAGTTTTCTATTTCTCGAGGCTGGCTGCCAATATACATATTATGACCGCCCGTCTTTTGGTTGACCGATGTGGAAGTGCTCTGATAGCTTTAGTTGATACTGGAGATGATAGAATATATTACCATGATGTACTCTATATTAGCTGCTCCACACCCTATACTCCCATACTCTGCATTCAGCAGCTCGACAGCCCGAATTCGCTTCGACAAATCCACGTGATTGTGACAGTGGATGAGTCAGCACTGCCTGCCTCTCTTCTGCTGTGTTCGCTGCTTGGGCGAAGAAGCGAAAAGGCGAGTGACGGATGATCGGAAGCTGAGCTGTCCATCAAGCAAGACATAGCTGCTAGCCATACCCTTGGAAGCGACTTCTCCCGGGAATTTTGATGCCTTGTTATTATTATTAAGCCTAGCCCCTATCCCATCCAGCAAAGCGAGACGCGTTAATCGCCGACAATCTCCTCATTTTTGCCGCCACGCGTTAATATTCTGTTTGGACCCAGCCGAGTAGCCGAACGCAATCCAAGCAAGAATTATTGGCTCTTTGCCTGCGACTGATCTAGGTGTGTTAATATTATCATCTTGATCCTATGATCTGTTGTACTTTCTGTGAATACTTCTGCGGTTCTGCGCACTTTATCATATCAATGCCAAAGATCTGCAGAATGGGTGGATTGTTCGGGTTGCAACGCCATTGTGAATTCAGTAATTGGGATGGTCTTGCCTATTATCCAAGCTAATGAACTGCCCCTGGTTCCATATTAGATCTATAATATGCGTGAAGCTCATATCGCGCGACTGTCAAGTACATAGGCCAGTTTGCCAGGACCAACTGCCTGGTCGCGACCAACAACCCCCTTAAAAATGGCTTCTTCCGATGCCTCGCCGGATTGCCCAGCTATCGCCGGCAATGTACCCCAGACGTCATCCCAGCCTATGGCGGAGCATACAGGGGGAGATCTCCTTGGCGATGAGACAGATATAAAGACGTCTGCCAACACGGAAACTACCAACGGGCATTCGCCGGCTTCGCTCGCCGAAGGAAAGCAGAAACCTGAAGGCCCAGGTACAACTGAGTCGCAAAATGAAACTTCAAATCTTGATGACGGACAGGAGGACTGTCCTGGGTCTCCCGATCCGCAGCAGGAGGAGCCTGCTAACGGGACTTCCCTCGGACAGAAGCGCTCCAGATCTGGCTCCATAAAACATTCATCATCATCACCACCACCTGTGGAGCTTCCTGTCGGGCCCCGTGAGACGCCGCTTGATAAGGTATTATTGGAGCAGTACCTTCACCGTGAATGGCTACATTCCACACTTGCTGCTGGCAGAACCCGACACCAGGATATCTTACAGGAAAAACGAGCAGAGCGCGACTTCTACCTGCAGATACAACATGAGCGCCAAATGAACCCAGGCGCTATATTTGGAATGGGCTATGAAGGTTTTGGCAACGCCAGAACCGATCTCAAATCGCAGCATCCACAACTACTCTACCCATCGAATAGAAGGAAGCCCGGAGGCCGAAAATCTCGGGATACACGGATTTCCCGACAGGAGATGGACAAACAAGCGGATCAACCCGAAAACTTGGTCCCGATACGGTTGGATATTGATTGGGATAAGGTGAAAATTCGAGACACTTTTACATGGAACCTACACGACCGCGTTACGCCACCTGATGTCTTCGCGGAAAAGCTCGTCGAAGATTTTGGCCTCCCGCTAGAATCCTGCGGCCCACTTGTCCGGCAAATCACCCAAAGCATCCAAGATCAATTGACGGAATATCACCCCCATATATTTATCGAAGAGGAACCATTAGATCCCCACCTCCCGTATTTTGCCTACAAAAACGACGAAATGCGCATTCTGATCAAGTTGAATATCACTATTGGACAACATACCCTAGTGGACCAATTTGAATGGGATATCAATGACCCCTATAACTCACCTGAACTTTTTGCAGTTCAAATGGCGACGGACCTAGCCCTTCCGGGGGAGTTTGCGACCGCAATTGCCCATTCCATTCGAGAGCAAGCCCAGCTCTTCACTCGAAGCTTATACATCGTATCCCATCCGTTTGATGGTCGCCCCATCGAGGATCCTGTCCTCAAAGGTGCATTCCAGGCTTCTCCACTTCAATCCACATTCCGTTCTATCCAGCAGGCCAAGGAATTTACGCCCGTCCTCTGGGAACTCAACGAGGCAGGCCTTGAAAGGACTGAAGGATCTATCTCCCGTGAACAGCGACTGCAAAAACGTTCTGTTAATCGTCGTGGTGGGCCAGCTCTTCCTGATCTAAAAGACCGGCTGCGCACAATTCGAACGATGATCGTGTCCTCCGTCATACCTGGATCTGCGGCTTCCGTCGAAGAGAGTCGACTTTTCAAACGATCTGGCACTGGTCGAAGCCGGCGTGCAACTACTGGACAACGTGATGGTCTGGAGGATTCCGATGAGTCTGACAGCGATGAATCGTCTGGAGCCTCGCCGGCCATGTCGCATTTAACCCAAGGAACTGCACGGACCCGCGGTATGCGGACAGCGTCTGCAATCGCTCAGTCGGCGATGCGCAGCCACCTTGGTCGTTCTGCAACTCCCGAAACTTCCTCTCTTCACGAAACCAGAACGTCTGCAAGAAGGCGAGACTATCGCGAAGAGAGTTCCGAGGCTCCAGAGAAACTGATCGTTAGACTTAGGATCAGTTCTCACAAACTACGACAACTGATGAAGGACCTGAAGACAAGGCAAAAAGGGTATCCAGGTTCGCCAGCTCCAGCAGGTGCAACAACTCCCGTTCGAAACGCATTTCCCACCCCTCGCGGCTCCATGGGCCCGCCAGCCGCCCAGCCTGCAACCACTCCGAAACGCCCGACGCCATCCCAACTGAACGGGGTCGTCGATGCTCCTCATCCTCCTCAACCTGGTGTTCCTGGTGTATGATACTCCAATTTGCCCGTCCCTCAAAAAAAACAAAAAAAATATTCGCCAATGTAACTAACAACTCGCAGCCTCCCCCTCCGCCTTGGCTCGTCCGTGGCCTGAACAATCTAAAACGCAGCTATCCTCGCGACTCGTTCGAAGGCACAATGCGCTACACTGCCGTCGACCCCCAGACCAGCTTACCCATCCCCAACGCTGCAACGACACACCCGGGACAAAAGCTGATCTACAAATACTTCCCACGAATCCGATGCCACGATTGTCCCGGAAAGCTATACACTCCCGGTCCAGCGTTGACGGTGGATAATTTCGAGGTACATCTTAAGAACAGGCAACATAAGGAGAGGGTTGAGGAGCGACACGCGCGCCTGGCGAAGCAAGCTGGAATTGCGGGTGGTTCTGCTGCGGAGATTAAGGGTGAGCTTGTTTCTAGGTAGAAAGGTGTGTTGAGAAGAGTAGGAAACTGGGAGGGCACACGGCAGTTAGTGTTTTCTTCTTCTTCGTCTTCTTCTGATCCTTCATGTCCTTCTTAACATATGTACAGTACTGCATACATACCCCGCTGTAGTAGTTCAGAGAACGAATATGCCGTGTTTCCCGATAAAGTATAAATTCATCCTCGGATACGGGGAAGGGTATCTACCTTTTTATTTTATTTTTATTTATTCATTTATTTTTTTACGTTTTCTGAGGGTCGAGCTCATCGGGAACTGAATGGGTGGTAAATTAATCATAGGCATAATTTAAGGAAAAGCGAATACATTTGGCATGGAACAAAAAAGCAAGGGAGAAATGGCTTCTGCTAATTCAATCCAAAACATCGCTAATAGCCAACATGTGTATTTGTCGCGGGTTTGGGGGGGGATAAGGCTCATCATCTCCAGTTTATCTCATTCAAGACGTCAATAGCATAAACACAAAAGGGAGGCCTAGTTTTGAATGGAAGGATCAACTAATCTAATTTTACAGGAACTTCTTGGGCATATTTGCACGGCGTTTCTTGTAGAAAACATAAGCTCCGGCAAGGGAGAGTTGAAGCGCTACTACCAGGAAGATGAAGAAGCCCATGCGAGGAGCGGATGAAAGTATACCTGGTCATTTTTCGTCAGCACTTGCTTGTTTTTCGCATTGGTTTCTTTTTGTTCCTCTCCTTCTTTCTCTCTAGTTTTTGGTTTCCGTTGGGGGTCGGGTTTTAAAAACTTACGATGGGAGGAATCGTGCAGATTCTCGAGTAGACCCGAGTGCGAGTGTCGCAAAGCTTCTTCCAATTTAGTGAAATGGCGCTGATAGTCCTTGCCCGCGAGGTCCTTTTGGACGCGTTCAATCATTCTCTCGAGCCTCATGACCCTCTGGTCCACGCTGCTGACCTGATCGCGATTAGCGGAGTTGCGGGCGAGTTCTTGGTTGCGTTCGTCGAACTTCTTGGAGAGCAGGGCGAGGTCGTTCAGGAGCCTTTCAGTCGAGGTGCTTAAAGTGTGGAGGCGATCTTGGATATTTTTGATTTGGGTCTGAACTCCCGAGAGGCCGTCCGCGGAGGCCTGCTGGTTTGTGTTACTTCTTTGAACAGGCGGCTGCTGGGCTTGATGGCTTCGCTGGTTCTGAGAGGCGCCGCTGTCGCTGCCTGGTCGTGGAACGGACAAGGCGAACTTGAAGACTTCGAAGGAGTCGGGATAATCCGTGGACGAAGCTGTGATTCCAAACGTGTTGCCCACGGGAAGGAAGACCTAAGGAAAAAAAAAGAACTAGATGAATACACTTATCTTCGCCAGAAGGGAAAGCGATAACCAACCTTTTTGGTATGGAAACAGCTTCTCTTATCAATTAGAACCTCGAATGAAAACATAGTCTGCTTGATAATAATTTGCGATGGTCTTCCAAGGTTACGGTAAAAGTACTCGCAGTGGCCGAATGCCAGGCTGTCGACATTCCGGTGAGTTCTGTAGTCGGTAGTACCATCGTTCAAAAAGCCACGCACCATGCCTCTCTTCAAAGTACGTTAGGCAATCGTGAAACCAATACAATTTTTTTTGGTCGAAGGATGCCGTGTACTTACGCCTTGTGAGCTATCGATGGTGATGGCCAACCCGTCAAAGCGAGAAACGCTGTAGATATCTTGCGACCCGACATCAACCTGGCCATTTTTAACATACCAAAGCTGGATATTTCCACCTGGACCATCCTCGCCATTGACTCTGAATTCAAAATCGACCGTCCACTCTGATTGAGAAACACTGGATGTAGATGTTAATGCAGTACAAAGGAGGTTTGCTACGGGACACTCACGGATCAAGTGCCCACATGGCGCCTCGTTTGCGGCCTGGATATGGCGGCGTCATAATTATTCTATCGGACATCTATGGCCCGTTAATGCCTTTTCCCTTCTTGGCCCAGGTTCTAGGTGATGCGGGAGACGACTTACTATCTCCGGGGTGAAGCCATCTCCAGAGAGTTGCCATCCCGGCAACGAGGACATGTCCGCCGAGATACTATAAACGTTATTAGATTGGCGCGTCCCCAAACGAGACTGGAATCCCATACCGATTTCCATTGCCAAAGCTTGTTCTTTCAACCAGGGTATCAGCAGAGGATAGTGCAAACAGGGACGAAGACAGGGCCAGGATGCGGCCAATGCTGGATGATAGAATCATCTTTAATGATAATAGGATGAGGCGCTATCGGTTTTCCCCCCTCCGAAAAAGAAAAGCAAGAAGCGAAGTCTTCCTGATAGCGGGAGCAATGAAACACCGCGTCCAAAAGGGTTGAAATGTTTATGCTGATAATCTTAATAACAGCCGAAAAACAGTATGATCATTATAGGTCTTAAAAAAGACCTTTGTTAAAAGAATGATTGCAAAAACAGAGGGCTTCCAGTGAATTCTGCCTGCACTTGCTCAAGCTCAAACAGTGAGTGTGTTTTAGATATTCCGAGCAAGAAGTATGTTGATAACCAGCAATCCTTCCGGCTCCTAGCTTGGGAGAAAATTGCCCAAAAGCAAAAGGGACAATTAATCACAATAAATGGACAAAATGAATTTAAAGCTGAAAAAGAATAAAACAAAACAAAAAGACAGACTCCTTTCCCTCTCTCGTTGCTCTGTGTGCCTGTCCGCTCGGCTTCCGTCTGATATTCAACCGGCCAGTTTGTCCTCACGCAGCGCCGCAGCCACAAGCAAACAGGCCAAACACCCCAGCCTGTGGCTGCATAATCACGTGGCAGCCAAGCAATTCAGCCGTATGTATTGGAGTTGTATGTTGCCCGTACGGTAATTTACAGGTCCTCTCTGGCGAATTTATTTGGCGAGTTAAAGCTGCAAACACGCAGCGGGAAGCAGAAGAACCTCGAGGAGTCGTTGTCGTCGTGGTCCCTCCGCTGCTGGATCGTCCGTTGTCTATCCTGCCAGCTTAGTATAGTGATGACGGTCATGCCCAATGGCTGAATTCTTCCCTTCGTTGACCCAATGCGCCCTTGTGGCAGCAGCATTCAAGGTCCTCCTTTTCCCAGCATAGTAGGTGGAAGTTATATTCTCAACCTCCTCTTTTCTTTTTTTTTTTTTTTTTTTTTTTTCTGGCGTGCTGACTTAAGACCATGTTATTAGCAAGTCTACGGATTTCGAAGTCCACCGCAATTGGCTTGCTATCACGCATTCTCTGCCTGTGCAGGATTGGTACTATGAGGTAAGGGTTTCCACTTCCTATTGTTCAATGTCAGTGCAAAGATGGCGCTGATGAACGAGTAGAAAACTTCAGAATGGACACTCGATTATCCGCCATTCTTCGCGGGCCTCGAGTGGCTATTGTCGAAAGTGGCATTCTTTGTTGACCCTGCAATGCTGCAATTGGGAAATCTCAACTATGATTCCTGGCAGACGATATACTTCCAGCGGTCATCCGTTATTTTCCTAGAGTTGATGCTGGTTTATGCATTAAATCGGTACGTTTGTTTCTCTCTTTCTATATATATATATTGTTTTTACGCTCGATGGACACAGCTGAGTTTATTGACTTGGCGCCTTGGTAAGATATATCAAGTCCGTGCCTGCTCCCAGCAAGCATTTGGCCCACGCGGCCAGTCTTTCTATTCTCCTTTCGCCAGGCTTGTTGATTATTGATCACATCCACTTTCAGTACAATGGATTCCTGTATGGGATCTTGATATTATCAATTGTTCTGGCCCGCAAGCAGTCCACACTCCTTTATAGCGGAGTCACTTTTGCAATCTTGCTATGCCTGAAGCATATATACCTTTACCTCTCCCTGGCATATTTTGTGTATCTCCTTCGAGCATACTGTCTCGATCCAAATTCCGTCTTCCGTCCACGGTTTGGCAACATCATCAAGCTAGGGATTGGAGTTACTAGCGTGTTTGCTGCTGCGTTTGGTCCGTTCGTGTACTGGGGGCAGTTAAACCAGATCAAGGAGAGGCTATTTCCGTTCTCAAGAGGGCTATGCCATGCGTACTGGGCGCCGAACATTTGGGCAATGTATTCATTTGTGGATAGAGTCCTTATCCCAGGTACACACTTGACTCTCCATACTCCTACCCTGTTACCTCCTTATGCTGATAAATCCCCATAAAACAGTCGCCCCTCGCCTTGGACTTCCTATAAAAGCGGATGCACTCACAAGTGTGACGCGAGGTCTCGTTGGTGACACTTCGTTTGCCATCCTGCCCGAAGTGAAGAAAGAGCACACATTCGCTTTAACTCTTTTCTTCCAACTGGTAAGATATCGAACACCCCCCCCCCCCCCCCCCCCCCAAAAAAAAAAAAAAAAAAAAAAAAAAAAAATATATATATATATATATATTCCTTCCCACTCCCACAAATGAAACCAAGCTTACAAAAGGAAACACACAACAGCTCCCACTCCTCAAACTCTGGCTCCAGCCCAACTGGGACAACTTCGTCGGCTCCATCACCCTCTGCGCCTACGCCGCCTTCCTCTTCGGCTGGCACGTCCACGAAAAGGCCATCCTTCTCATCATCCTGCCCTTCAGCCTCCTAGCCCTCAAAGATCTTCGCTATCTCGGCGCCTTCCGCCCGCTCGCCGTAGCAGGGCACGTCTCCCTGTTCCCGCTCCTCTTCACGGCCGCAGAGTTCCCCGTGAAGACGGTGTACACCGTCCTCTGGCTCGTGCTGTTTCTGTTTACGTTTGAGCGGCTGGCTCCCGTGCCGGCGCGGCCGAGGGTGTTCTTGCTGGATCGGTTTTCGTTGCTGTATGACACGGTGTCGATTCCATTGATCGTGTACTGCTCGCTGGTGCACGGGTGGCTGTTTGGGGGCAGGATGGAGTTTCTGCCGTTGATGTTTACGAGTTCGTATGCGGCGCTTGGGGTGGTGGGTAGTTGGGTTGGGTTTATGGTGGTTTACTTTACGTCTTAGGAGCATTCATTGTAGTATCTCGATCGCCCTTCTTTGTGCAGGCAAAAAGTTGACTGCGGGCCTATTACCAGGAAGAAATAATACACCACGCCATATATGGTATAATCTGAAATCTCATTCAGCGTCCAGTCCCCATCGTGAAGTTGGCGACTATTAAAAAGATTACTGAAGGGACACATATATAAAAGAGGTATATACCGCTCCGAGCTCATCGTACGCTCGTATACCTCCATCCAGAAGCCTAACATATGTCTATCTACCAGGTACTTGCCATTGCATATCTCTAGATATAGACATCCTGGTAAAAAGGGGGCCTCCCTTGAGGAGCTTGTGAAAAGATGGTAAGGTCATTGGGCATGGTAGCTTTGTTTGGAAACACTGCATAAACATGAATTTTTGGATGTGTAGTAGCTTCTGGTGGTAATGGATTCTAAGAAAAAGGCTGCTTTTGCATGGCGCAAACCAAACAAGAAGGCCGTAGCGCACTCCTGCCAAACGCGAAGGAAGCTGCAGCGAAGTGAATGTCCTTTGGATCATGAGGAGAACTAGAGATTGAAGGATGCCTATTCAGGGTTGAGAGGCGGTCTGTTGCCCGCTCCACCTCATACGAAGCGCATAGGTTTCGAGTGGCATGGGAAAGTCAGGTCCCTAGTAGGGGGGGGGAAAATGGAAGAAGTGAAGATGGCGCCGACCTTGACTGATGGCAATGACTGGTTGTGTTAGTGGAAAGAGAGACTGCGTGAGTTGGAGAGAATATGAGCCTTTCGGGTTCCGATGCCGAGGAGGAAGCTTGCTAGATAGAGAGGAAGAGTGGTGGGGGTTGCTCGGGCCGCCCGGGGAAGAGAGAAGGGGGCGGAGGTGGAAGAAGGCATCAATCTGATGTGAGGGTGTAGATGCTTGGGTAAATTAATGAAAAAAGCAGAAATAAAGGTATTCAACGTGAATCGCCGCTCGATTCCGAGCAGAACGAGTACTCATACGTTGGGGGTTGGGTGCGTGGGCGGGATGGCAGGGGGAGGTTGACGGTGCAGCGGGACGAGGGCAGAGATGGAGGCGTCTTTTTTTTTTTTCCTTCTCCTTCAACGACCAAACGAGCAGCGCAGCCGGGCGAAGGAACGAACCTGAGCGCAGATCGGCTTGGGCTGGCGTCTTGGCAAGGAATTCCCCCCCATTCTGGTACTCTGCTGAGCCGCCACTGGAAGCACAAAAAAAATAAGGAAGAAGAAGAAGAAAAACAAAAAAGAGAGCTGTTCTCTTTATCGAGCTTGTGATGATTTGGGGTGAAAAAATGGAAATTTTGTGTTTTCAGCTCCGAGTAACTTACAGCCTTCCCGCGCGGCACACTAGACACCTTTATGTACCCGCCATTACCATAGTTACATACAGCCAAAGCTTAGTCGATACGTCACCGTCCCCCGGTCCACCGCGTCGAAAACTCGTCGAAGGCCGCAGAAAGTCGTTGCTCGGGACCAAAAAGGGGGGGAGGAACTGTGTATCTGGGGATGTTCTCAGCGCCGGGACGGGAACGGCAATTACACAGAGAGATCTCGTCTGCAGTTCGAGCTCCGCGAGGCCAGCTAGCTAAGTTAACCGTGAATGTATGTATGTTTTCCCCCGGTACGGAGGTACTCTGTAGTTTGAACCAGGGCCGTGATCGTGAATCTGGATAACCCGGCGGTCACCCGTTCAGCGACTTCATCGCGGCGGAGTAGACATAGATATGTATGTGCTCTCGCGTGCCTATATATATAAATCTATATATTTTGGGGTTGGGGAAGATGTACCCGCCCATACGTTGATACCGCCGCCCTTCCGGCGCTCCCACCCACGCAAGTCGCTGGCCCCGGCCCTATTCCCCATCAGGAACCAAAACCCCCCCCATTCCCGATTAGTGCAGCGGCCCTCCTCGTCCTCCCCTTCTTCCACCCAAAATGGTTTTCTCCTCCCTCCTCCTCTTCCCCGTCACCCACGCATCAACCTCCATCCATCCTCCTCGCTGCCTACCACCTCTCCGCCGCCGTCTTCCTCGACTCACCATTCGCTTTTCTCCCCGTCGTGTCTCTCTCCCCGGCTGGCCTTGCTTACCCTTTTTATTTATTTATTTATTTATTTATTTTTTTTTGGAGGCTTCCGCTCGAGCAGCTACGCGTGATGAGGTTTCCACCAGGTGAGCAGCCTAGCCCTTCGACGCCGCTTCTTGCAGAGCTATCGGAACAACGCGTCTTTCCATCCACAAAAAACATCTATAGACCAGTGAATCTTGAAGAAAAGGAACCCAATTAAAAAAAAAAAAAAAGGAAAAGAAAGAAAGGGAAAAAAAAATTTCCATCTTGGACTTCCGTGCTGACTACCACATTCAACCCAGGCTGAGTTAGCTCTCTTCGTGTCCAAGACTTCGCGGAGCCTCACGGGCAAACCTAGCCCCCGGCGTCTTATCTGTTTCCTCAACCTACTCACACGCGGTCCGATCCCGTTCGCGTTCCGCGAAAATCGTCAAGATGGTACAGAACAACACCCCCATACCTGCCGCCATACCACCGCTGACACTGCCGCCGCTCCGCTCTTCTAGGTGTTATTCAAGCGCAAACCCGTTCAGTATCTCCCGAAGCCGACCATTGAAGATGACAGCTCAGAGGTATGCGACTGGACCGGTTTAAAAGGGGGGGAGAACTTTTTTTTTGCACTTGGTTGCTGATACCGCTCGAATCTCACTAGGTTTGGGTCATTCCCGAGACAGATGAGGTTTTCACGAGCTACGAGCCGTTTTTGCAGAGGTAAGAGGCCGCTGCTGTTGTCGCCATATTCCCAAAACTTTGTGCGTTCAAGGAAGAAGCAGAAAAAAAAAGGGCTAACCTCTCGCCAGAATGAATTTCTACAAGCAGGTATGGAGCTCTCCCCCGGTTTCTTCTTTTTGCTCCGTTGTTGCTCCGCGACCCGTCTGCCTTTGGTCCTGTCGGGGTTTCGGGGGTGTTGATGCTGGTTACAATGGCTGTGGGCAATTCGAATAACCTCAGTTATCCTGTATAGAAGCGGTTTATATGCGAGATCACCGGTCACTCATCCCTTACCTTTTTCGAGGCCTTGAGAAGCGAAGTATGTCGTACCAGATTGACACCAAGCTTCTGGGAAAACAGCATTGACTGTGATGTATAGGCTGAGGGTTCCAGAGAAGTGGATAACGCCTTTCCCGAGGCCCTGAAGGAGCCGGTGCTGCGCAAGGTCCAATTCTCCATCGTGTCAAGAATAGATAGTCTTGGTAAGAGAGCACCCTGAGGTTGAAAAAAAAAATAAAAAAAAAAAAAAAAAAAACCACCGGAAGCAGTTTACTGATATTTGCTACGCAGTGGATCAGCTTTACGAGGTACCCCTTTCCAGAGCAGAGCCGAATTTAAAAACAACTGTCGAGCTTACATTTTTCAAGGATTTCAAGCAGGACTTCTATCCCGGCGAACGAGTCACCGTGTTACTTACAAATGGCTCTCGGCTACAGGGGGTGGTTCGCGAGAAGGCAAGATTCCCAGAAATCTGTCGATCAGATGGGACCTTAGAACGGAGGGCGTCATCCCGGTACCTGGTGAAACTTACCAACCGTCAAAACGAAGAAGCGTTGGTGGATGACGAACATCTGGCGCGTGATCGGAAAATATTCACAAAACAGATGTTGAGGTCGTTCATCAAGAATACAGTGTCGAGAGAGTCCTGGAACGGTGCGCCCTGGCTGGTCAAGCCGCATATTGCTGAATACTACCATATCGATACCGAGGTTCCTCAGCATCTTCAATACGGGAATAAAGCGGGAAAGAAGGCTAAGGTGTCGGCAGATAAGCAGGAAGACGAAAAGTTATTTGGATTCTTTGCCTCGCAACGCCCGCAGTTGAAGCCATCCACGAAAGGTCAGAAGGCGAAAACCCCCCAGGAGCTTGAAAAGGCAAAGGAGGAACAGTACGAAGCCTATAGACGATCATTAAACGGCAACCCATCGTTTAGACTGCCAAAGAACGATAAACACAGGCCACCACCTCCCTCTGAAGCACCGGTGGCCCTTCTTCCAGAATTTTCAGTCATCATTAACAACAAGTTACCGCCCTCCCCACCACCGCCTCCGCCGGCCCCGATCAAATATCCTATCGAGGATCTCGACATACCGCCAACCGACGGCGCCCGGCGCCCAAGCTTACGCTTCTTGACCAATGACGAAACTGCCGAGAAACTCGACCTAGGCCTCAAAATGGAATCTGTCGGGCCCCTTCTCGAAACTTGGAACACGTTGAACGTATATTGTGAAGTGTTCCAGCTTGACTCGTTCACCTTTGATGACTTTCTCGAGGCAATGCGCTTTTCCTCCGATGATATCAACTGCGAACTCTTCACAGAGATCCATTGCGCCGTGCTGAAAATACTTGTTAACTCCGAAAAAGATCAGGAAGGTGCTATTCAAATATCTTTACCTGCGGCCCCGGAAGAAGACTCCGAGGAGGAGTCAGAGGAATCTGAACCTGAGCCCGAGCCTGAGCCCGAACCGGTGCCGACTCGAAGAACAACAAGAAGTAGTCTGGCACGGGTTGAGATCAACAATACGAAGCCTCCACCACGCAGTCGTTCCACCACCGCTGATATTAAAGTCCACCGGGCTGCCGAGATGTTTACGGAGTACGGGTGGATCGACCGTGTGCGGAAGCGCGATTTCAAGAATGGCGGATGGGAGCTTGTGATGATCGGTCTCCTATACCGACTGTCGAGTCGGCCAAGGTTGCAGAAGATTTGCGATGAAATTCTCTCTCATCTTGCACCCCTGGATGCCGAACCGACACGAGAGACCGCCCAGGAGCAATATTCTACCCTCAACATAAACCTACGTATACAGGCGCTACAGATCATCTGCATGCTCACTCTTGAAACAAAAGCTATCAAGAATTACCTTGAAGAGTGTAGCAACCAAATGACCGAGTTCCGGAAAGAGAAGATTGAGCTGCAGCGCGCTCGAAAAGCTACGTGAGTACTCACCTGAAACCCCTATGTGTGAAACGTTTTCTCGGAGATGATCGATGTTAATATGTCCACAGCCTCGAAGAGCTACGGAAGCTACATGAAGAACGGAAAGAACTTGAGCCGGAGCGCCCTCCTTCTCCCGCTCCGGAGCCAGAGGAGATTGCCGAATCGAAGGTACCCGGAACCGAAGAAGAATCGGAGGCCACTAGCGAGTCAGACGAGGAAGAAGAATCCTATATTGGTCGCTCTCTACGTGGAGGAGCTGATAGGGAGCTCGAACGCAAGCGAAGACAGGAAGAGGAACGGCTGCGTAAAGAACTGGCTGCCAAGCTACCGAAGGGAACGAAACAATACCAACGGGTGCTTAAGAAGATTGAAGACCTTAAGGCCAAGGTCAAGGCGTATGAGGCGGACATAGCCGTCCTTGATAACGACCTGCGCGAGGCGGATTGTCCCAGGACCCGCGTTCTTGGAAAAGATCGGTTTTGGAATCGCTACTATTGGTTTGAACGAAACGGAATGCCTTACGAAGGCCTTCCCAATAGCTCGACGGCGTCTGCAGGTTACGCCAATGGAAGAATATGGGTGCAAGGTCCCGACGAGATCGAGCGTGAAGGGTTCATCGATCTTCCCGACGAATTGAACCGATCATATTTCAAAGAGTTTGGTATGACTGTTGCCGAGCGTAAAAGGGCCGAAGAAGGGCCCACGAGCATGCTCAATGCCCAGGAATGGGGATATTACGAGGACCCAGACGAGCTGGACGAGCTTATCAATTGGCTCGATAGTCGAGGAGTCCGCGAGATTAAATTGCGCAAAGAGCTCCAGCTTCACAGGGATAACATCGCCAAGTACATGAAGAACCGAAAGGAGCATCTGTCGCAGCATGCATCCAAGGTGGAATTGGAGGAGGAGCCTCCGACGAGGATGTCCACGCGGACGAAGACGTACACCGATTACAGCAACTTCCATTGCCTGAAGTGGAAAAATTCGACGGCTCTACGGGATAACGGTCATCTGCACATTGAACCAGAACGCCCTACGAAAAGAGCGAAGAGATCGATGGACAACGCTAGAGAGCTGAAGATGCTGAATCGCCAGGGCAAGCCGCTGGCCAGACAGGGTACGCGGTACAATTTCTAGGCGCCGCCGGCTTCTGCCAGCGGGATATTCCAAAATAAAAAAAAAGAAAAGAAAACTAACGATTTGATGACATACTTCCCCCCCCCCCCCCCCCCCCCCTTTTTTTTCCTGGTATGTTTCTAGATCGGGTTGACCGTTTGGCGAGCCAACCCGGTATCCCAGGACACGATTTTTTTGTCATTGATCATTGGCCTGCGCATGCGGTTTGGAATCGAAGTACCCCGCTCAGCATTTTTTTTTTTTTTTTTTTTTTTTTTTCCCTCTTTTTTTTGGGGGGAGAGGGGGCGGCAAGAATGAGTAGCTGTTTTGACCCAGTGTTCAAACACCTTGGGCGGAGTGAGTTGAAGAAGCCCAATCAATTATTGGGAGATATTGATTTCGGTGTTTTTTTTTTTTTAATAGAGATATAGTTGGCGCTGTTCTTTTTTTTTTAATTTTTGCCCCTTTTTTTGCCTCACATACGCGAGCGAACTGATATGCATATTGGGGGGAGTTTCTGGCATCTTCGGCGAGCGTGTGTGCGTGTGTCTGTATCCCACCGGCTCTGATCAAAGAAAGGGGGGGCGTTATTATATTTTGGAGGAAAACAGATAGAATTGGTGGGGGGGCCCATCGTCACTATGTACGGAGTACATGGTTTATTATTTTGAATTCTAGTATACCAGTTGGAGCAGCACAAACAACCAAGCACAGTTCTATGATCATCTTCGATTTCGCTCTCTCTCTTTTCTCTCTCTTTTTCTCTCTCTTTTTTCTCTCTCTTTTTTCTCTCTCTTTTCTCTCTTTTTTTCTCTCTCTTTTTCTCTCTCATTTTCTCTCTCTGCGATTGTTTTCGATTTCGGCCTGCAGGGATGTCACGTGGCGGCTTCTCCGGCAAAATCGCGTCGGCTTTTCGGCGCCGGAAGCCAAACCCTAGCCGGCCATCAGCCAATCAGCGTGCGCGTAGTAAGCAAATTTCGGAGAAATTGCGATGACTAATCCTGACGAAATGCGGGCACAGGTCACGTGGGACAGTCCTTTAGCGCCCTTTTTTCTTTTCTTTTTCCCCGCGACGAAGCCGCACCAAAAAATCCCGCCCCCTTCGACTCTGGGTTGTTTGTGTGGGCTGCTTTTTCCAAAGCCAGCCAGCGCCAGAACAATACACCAAAAAGAACAAAAAAAAAAGAAAAGGAGAGAGATATATCAACAACGAAAGCATACACTTCACACCTTTCCTTTCTTTCTTTAATTTCCGGTGCATGTCAGGCGTCCTCCCCGTCCCGGACAATGCGGACCATCTGCCCTCATCGCCCTCTCCTTCACATCTCCCAATCGCCACTGCCCGGCCACTCTGCGATCTTCAGACGGAAAGCATTTCCCGAGGCCCGATGATCATGTCGCACACGAGCCAGATGGCACCTGCGACAGCAACATCACCATCACCACCACCACCATCATCATCATCACCGCCGCGGCCGCGGCCGGTGTCAGATACCGACCAGCATGCTGCTGTGCGCGCTGCTGCTGCTACTAGTGCTACCACTACCACTGCTGAGGGAGCGCAGCCAGGAATGAGAAAACGCGGCGGAGCGGGTGCGAAAGAGGTGGATAAGCGGAGCTTGGATTATTTGCTTCGTAGCGGGTTGGCTGGGGGTTTGGCCGGATGTGCGGTAAGTAGATTCCTCTGTGTAGTCCACAGGTTCTTGCTTTCCTTTTTTTTTTTTTTTTTCTTTGAAGTTCTCTGTGTTCTACGACTCCGAGATATGCCGTTAAGATCTTCATCGAGGGCTTTTTTGCTAATTAATGTTTTACCTTTTTTTTTTTTTGTGTTTAGGCCAAAACGGTGGTCGGCCCTCTCGACAGAGTCAAGATCCTGTTCCAGACTTCGAATCCACAGTTTGCCAAATATTCCACCAGCTGGTTCGGTGTTGTGTCGGCTATGAAATCGATCAATCAGCATGAAGGCGTCCGCGGATTGTTCAAAGGGCACTCCGCCACACTTCTGCGGATATTCCCCTACGCCGCTATCAAATTCTTAGCCTACGAACAGATCCGTGCCGTCATAATTCCCACTAAACAAAATGAAACTCCCTTCCGCCGGCTGATAAGCGGCAGCCTGGCAGGCATTTCGTCAGTTTTTTGCACATATCCATTAGAGCTTATTCGAGTACGGCTGGCGTTTGAAACGAAGCATAATTCTAGATCGTCCTTGAGAAAAATTTGTTCGCAGATTTACCATGAAAACGGCGGAGCCGCGACTTCCGCGTCCTCTTCTTCAGTTACCACGGCCGCCGCGGTGGAGGGATCCAGACCCGGCCCTGCAGCCGTCGCTTCGGCCGTCAAGCGCGCTGCGCCGCTGGGGGGCCTGTCGAACTTCTACCGCGGCTTCTCGCCAACCCTCGTCGGCATGTTCCCTTACGCGGGCATGTCCTTCCTCACCCACGACACGATCGGCGACTGGCTCCGCTCCCCGAGCCTAGCGCCCTACACCACCATCCCGGATTCAGAACGGTTCACCCGCTCCGGCCAGGAACAGCCTCGCTCCCACCGCGCCCAGCTCAAGGCCTCCGCCGAACTGTTCTCCGGAGCTCTGTCCGGCCTGGTCTCCCAGACTTCGTCGTACCCGCTGGAAGTCATCCGGCGGAGAATGCAGGTCGCGGGGGCCGTGGGAGACGGACACCGGATGAGTATTTTGGAGACCGCTGGAGTGGTGTGGATGGAGAAAGGGTTTAGGGGGTTCTTCGTGGGGTTGACGATTGGGTATATGAAGGTTATACCGATGGTGGCGACCAGCTTTTTCGTGTATGAGAGGGGGAAGTGGTGGTTGGGTATTTGATGACGTGGGCATGCATGGTCCTGTGTTTGCCATGTTTCCTTTTTTTTTTTTTTTTTTAATGGCGGGGACTTTCTTGTCTTTTGCGCATTCGTTTTTAGATTGTTTGGTGGGTGCCCTTTGCTTTTTCTGAATAATGTTGGGACCTTTGAAAGGTTCGATGGCGTTTTTTTGTTTGGCATGCGTTGATACTCACTCATCAGCCATTTTGGACGGCTCCCTTTTTTGGGCTGTCCATATTGATACACAGGCAGCGTTTCGTGCTTTGACTCTCTTTTTTCAGTGCACATATACACTGTGATACAATTATATACATGGATATAGAGCAGCATATATATTGAACAAAGTATAGTATATACAGTTACCTGAGGCATTCCTGTGTGCTATGTGAGCTTAAAAATATACACATTAAATCACTATTTCATAATAATTCATCTAAAATTGCCTAAAGGAAAACTACATGGATGCTGGTGCATATATCAGATCCAACCCCAAAGGAGGGTAAATAAATAACTATACAAGTGATATCAAAATCTACACAAGCACCCTGCGAAGCCCCTCCGTTCCACCCAGCACCCGTCTCCCGGTGATCGGACACCGTCCCTTCCCACTCTCCCACTTACCAGCCCTACTCTTCCCCGCAGACTCTCCCTCCGCAGCACCCTTCTCGCCGTACTCCTTGACCCCAGCACCCTCAGTCCCATTCTCCCCGTCCGCATCCGGGTCATCGTCCCACTCACCGCCGGTGCCGTTCATGAAGTCGAGCTGTCGGTCATGCTCGCCGTTCAGCCAGCGGAATATGCAGCTGTAGCAGAAGACGTAGCCGGTCTGGCACGCGGTGGGGTTGACCAGCGGGTGAAGACAGATCGGGCACGTGTTGTGGGTGTCTTGGGAGGAAGAAGTGGAGGAGTCCGGTCTGGGGATCGGGACGGTGAAGATGGGGAGGTATGAGGTGGAGGAGATCGGGGCCTGTCGGTGTTTTGACGTGGTGGGCGGTGATGTGGATGTGGATGTGGATGTGGTTGTGGAGGTGGAAGAGGTGGGGAGCGTGGTGAGCTTGGTTTGGCCGGATTGCTTCAATGCCGATGGGAGAGTGGGTTTGATCGAGGGAGGTGGTGGTGGTGGTGGCATCCCTGAGATCACTGGAGCGGGGAGATCGAGCGCCTCGGTCGCCTTTCGGGCTAGCTGGCGGGAGAAATCGCTTGCGTGCCACCATTCTAGGAATTTAAGAGCAAATATTGACGCTGGGAGGAGGAATTTTAGCGAGCCCAGCACGTGTGGATACAGGTTGCGTGGGCTGAGCATGCCGAGGCGGCTTGCCCCAGGTCGTGCGCTGGCACCGCCGAGAGGTTTCGGTTCGGTTATCGATGCGATAGCTTTATGATCCGCCGAGCTCAAACGCCTGATTCGTGTTCCGATCAGCCAGAGGAATGGAGATGAATACTTCGTGTTATCAAAGAGATAGGCGAGGTTGAACGCCAGAATCGAAAAATAGTACGCCGCGTTGATCGAAGGATAGACGTTCCTCAGGAACCATTTGTAGTAGAACATCAACCTTTGGCGGATGGTCGGATTGTGCGGCAGGTCGTCGGCCGGATTGTATCTCGGACCTCCTCCCATCGCCAGCGCCGCCTGCGGAGCAGCGTGGATGTCGTATCCTTCGTCCAATTTCCGTTTTAGATACGGCAGTCCGACCAGCACGGCTAGATTCCTCCATACATCCGAACTACGGAGCTTCAACGTATCCCGCACGGGCCCAGCGGCACCCAGTTGCGCTCTTGGAACCTCGCCATTCTTAATTTCGAGAACACGCTCGCGCTTCAAGGAGTAGAAGTTCTCCGTGAACGAGCCGCCGAAGGTCTTGAGGTAATACCTCTCCACGACCAGAGAGAGCAGCGCGTAGACTTCGTCGAAGGAGTTGAGGATGCGGAGAAGGTAGCGAGGATGGCGGTGTGTAGCTACAGCGAGAAGGTAGCGGAGAGAAGGCGGAAGGAGAGCAGATAGCTGCTGCTCAGAGAGAATTTCTACTCAAGCTTTGAGCGTCAGCAAAGTGCTTTTTCAGGGAGGCGGGTAGGGGTGCTTTGTGTGTTTTTCGGCATGCCAGCAGCTCCCCCGGCTTCAGCCCAGCAGATTCTCCTTACCAAACAAGGACGGTTTGAAGTCATCGAAATCATTCTGCAGAGCGGACATATACTCCATTCTTGACCAGGGAGCATCGCCAG